ATGATGAGAAAACCATTGAAAAAACCCAAAAGGTATTTATATAATTTTTATTGTTTTGTTTAAAAAACAAACAAATGTTATGTCTAAAATGTTTTCTAATTTTCTTACAGTTTTTATCAAAATTTAAACTTTAAAGTCATGAGAATCATTTGGAAAAAAAATGAGAGAAAAATTTGATAATTTTCTTGATCTCATCATTCGATTGGAACCTACCACCGATCGACCAACCGAATGGAAGAAACGAAAGCGAAACTTTTTTTCACAATCGAAAAGAGAAACTATTTTTGGCAAATTTTCTGGATCAGGTTCTTATTTTGACTTCGAAGTGAAAGTTTTTTCTGGATGATGAAACCAAACCCAAAAATACACCATCTTTGTTTGATTTTTTTGTTTGTTCTGTGTGTTACGTTGACCTTTTTTTTCTCTCTTCACTCAATTATCATCAACAAAAAAATGGGAATGGTCAAACAAACAAACGACAACAACCTGTGTGTTATACAACAACAACAATCATCAATCAATCGATCGATCGATCGATCGATCGATTAATTAGGATCATTTCCAACTTTCTCTTATGTGTGATGTGTTTTCATCAAATATTTCATCTTTTTGGATGGAGGCGGTGATTTGCATTTGAAAATGAAGATGAAGAAAAAACTCTAGGACCTAGCAGTTTACAACAACAAAAAAGAAAGAAAGAAGATTTTTCTCGAAAAAAAAACATTCATCTTTTTTTATCTTGATTTATTTTGTACGTGTGTGTGTCTCTTCAATCATCATCGTGCAAACATCTATCCTGTTCCATTTGAAATCGACTAAAACTACAAAACCAAAATTTTGGTCGAATAAATAACGACAACAACAACTTGAAACAAATTCAAAAATTATCAGTTTTGATTCAGTGTGGTCGGTCGATTGGTTGTTGTGTTTTCGATCGAATTCTTAAAGTTTTTTTTGGTTTGGTTCAAAATTTTTACTCAATTGAAAATGAAACACAAAATGGCCAATAAAAAGTTTTATTCATCATCATCAAATAAGCAATCAATTTTATTTCTAATAACATTTATGTTATTATTTTTTCTACAATTATTATTTGTTTCGCCTTCTACATTTAAAAATAATGATAATGGTGGTGGTGATGACGATGGCAACAGTGAAACAATCATATTACATCCGGCAAATTTTTCCAAAATTAAAATAAAATTTGATTTTGGTACGGATGCACAGAAATTTTTCAAAGATCAAGCATCATCATCATATGTACCATTGCAGAATGGTAAGATTTTTTGTAGAAAATTTTTCCTATTTATTTAATAATTTCATTCAAATATATATAGATAAAGCATTCAATCAAACAATGGTTACATCAATCATACAGAATAAATTACAACGATTAAAAGAATTTTTATCACTTGAACAGCTTACATTTAATTCACAACAATTAAATGGTACTGCACCAATCAATGATGAATTAATTCTATTGGATACATTCAATATGCCTATTCATCTGCCGGAATATAAACTAAATGTATCGATTGATATGATAAAAATTTCCGGTATTAATCAATTTACCGTTTCGGATTTAGCAGCAAATACAAAATCGAAAAAAATTTCAGCATTACTTCGAATGCCAAACATACGATTGACAATGTTTTATAAAGTTAATGGATTTGCATTCAAATCAAAACGAATGGAAACATATTCAGATAAAGGACGTTTAACATATACAATTTATGGTTGGCGTACTGTATTTGCCGGTAAAATTGCTGCTATTCGTAATGATGATCATTTAGAAATTGCTGGTTTTGGTATGCGTTCACATTATAATTATTATGATTCACAAATGGTTACATTTATTAATAATGAACATGGTGAACGTTCATCACCTTCATCATCATCACCAACAATCGATATAAGTAAATTGATTGCATCAAATTTAATGAAAAAAGTAATCAATGAAGTTGATGATAAATTTGAAACAATTATGATTGATCATTTGGGTATTCATGAAACTGGTACCTGGAATCTAAGACCATCGGATTTTAGTCTATCGGATGAACAGCAACAACAACAACCGCAATCATCGAAAGATGATCATGATGATGATGGACAATTATGGATGATGGAATCACGTATGAATCATGAATCAATTTCACGTTCAGGACGACGACGAAATAAACGTCAAGTACCATGTGAACCTGGTGAAGAATTAGATGAATATGTTGATAGTTTATTTCGTTTTTTAAAACGATTAGTTCGTGTTATGGAACCATTTGGGGTAGGTATTTTCGACATTTTTTTTCCATCTGAATGTATCACTGATAATAATAATTTTCTATTTTTAAAACAGCTACCGAATGCAACAATCGAATTGGAAGAATATAATTTACAAATATTTTTACATAGTGGTGGTGTAACACGTGCCTATACATTTGAACGAAAAAAACCAGCATGGGTATTATGTCAAAATGATACAATTTCATTAGGTTTAACTGTTGGTATTGAAGATGCACGTATACATTATAAATATCGTGTTATACAAGATTGGCGTCTATTATTTGATGGTGATCTTGAAGCACAATTAAAAAAAGCTAAAGCACAATTACAGATAACACAACTTTCACCACCTGAAAATGAAGATGATGAATTTGATATACAAGATAATGGTGGTAGTAGTGATGAAGAAGAAGAAGAACCACAAGTACAACAACGTGTTGATAAATTAAAAGTATGGAAACCAGGTCAAATAACAGTATTGATACGTGGTTTAGGTAATTTTAGTTCAGCATTAAGTATGTTAATTAATTCAATGTTAACAGATACAAGTATGTTTGATCCAATTATTCGTATGATTGAAACTGATGGTGTTGTTTTAGCAAATGAAATGTTACGTAATGTATCTATTCCTATATTTAGTATCATTTAAGGAATATATTTTTAAAATACTAATTGTGTGCCATTCAAATTCAAATATTTTTTCACATACACACAAACACACACACTCAAATCAATTATAATCTTTTTTTTTCTGTAAATAGACCAAATGAAATTGTGTAAATATAAATAGAACACACACACACACACACACACACGCACAGTACTTGATTGATCAATCAATTTCAAGCAAAATTCATAGATTTGAATTATAAAAAAATATTATTATTAAAATAAAGATCATTCTTCATTGCAAAAAAAATTTCATTTCATCGTTTTTTCTTGTTGTTTTGTTTTTATACAGATTCGAGATTTGAGTTGGATTTGATTTTGATTGAAAATAAATAAATTAGAAAAAAAGGGTTAAAAAAATTTTCTTTTTGTGGATCATTTTTTGTGTGTAAAATAAATAAATAAATTTCTTTTCTTAACGAAAAATTTTACTGCTGCATTAATTGATGATGATGTCCACTACCACCACCGGTTGTTGGTTTCGATGCATTTGGTTGAAATGTACTTGTTACACGATTAATAATATCATTTACTGCTTTTTGTAAATCAGTAACACGTTGTTGAAGATTTTGCATCATACCAGATTGTCCTGGACGTGTACCACCCATTCCACCACTTGATTGTGATTGTGATTGTGGTGCGGAAAATTGATTCTGTATACGGCTAATATTTACACGAATTCTATGAACAGAATTATACATTTGTCGTAACATTGTTGATGAAAAATAACGACGTCTTGTTTGTAATTCATTGATTGTTGCCTAAAATCAAATTAGAAATCAAAAATCATCAATCAAATCAAAGATGCTAAACTTACCAATAAACGTTTTTCTAAATTTTCCAACTGCAATAATAATGATGCTTGTTGTGCATTCGATTCAGTTTGTCTTGGAAATAAATCCAATTCACGATTAGCAGCAGCAGCACTATAACTTTGTACATCATCAATCATCATTTCACCATTATCATCACTTTTTTCTTCTTTCATCGGTATCATTGTTGTATCATCGAATAATTGTCGTACTTGGGCATCTAAATCATATAATAATTTATTAGCATTATCAACTGGAATTCGAATAGCGGCGGATGATGCATCTTGACCACTGCTATTTCTACTCGATATTCTTTCTTCATTCGATACGGCAATTTCTACCGGTTGTGGCTCCTGCGGTGGTTTTGGTTGCTCTTCCGGCGATGATGATTCTGGAGCAGGTGCAGCTTCGATTTTGTAAACAAAAAAATTTTAAAAAATTAAAAAAAAAACAAAATTATCAAACATCACCTACCAAAACTACTGACAACAAACAACGATAAACAACAAACGTAAATGAAAAATTTCATTTTTTTTTTCGTAATCAAATCAAATGAAGAAATAAACAGGTAAAAAAAGTTTTTCAAATTCAAACAAAAAAGAAATACAGTTTAGTTTTCAGAAAGAATCAATCGAAAATGTTTAAAAATTCATTTGCTTTTTATATGAAGAATGGCCATCAAATAGCACCGTTACATAATATTTTCTTCGGTTTGGTTATCAAATCCATAAATCTTAGAAGTTGTTTTCCTGGTTTTCTTTCTTTGGTTGCACCTATACTTTAACTTTTGAATTTATTGTGGGTCGAAATATCAAAGTTGGTTGGTTGGTTGGTTGACCATGACCTTTTTTTCTCTCTCTCTCTCACTAACTTAATCGGCTTATCTTTTCTTGTTTCTCTTTTTTTATTCAACGATGCTGCTGATGATGATGATGATGGTTCGGGTCATCCCGCATCAAATTGATGTTGACCTTCCTTGATAAGAAGTTTTTCGTTTTAAATTCAAACGAAAAAAAATTAAATTCAAAATGACGAGGATGGTTCCTGCTTGTTCTCAATTTTTTCATCATATAAAAATCTTATCTTGATCAATTTTTTTTTTTGGTTTATCAAGGATAATAAACCTGTCGAATTTTGACATGACCTATTTCTGTCAAAATAGCCAGAAAAAAAATTACCTGGATAAATTTGAATATTGTAAATTAAAAAAGAAATTAGGATATGAAATTTGAATCTCTGAATATCCCTGCACAGAGAAGAAGAACAGGTTCAACACTCAAACACCAACATCATTCGATGGAAAAACACTTGGTTCCGGTTTTCTTTTTGAAAAAAATTGCTCTGATTTTAGCAAAAAAAAAAAAAATTTAAAAAACCTAGTTTTTCAAATTTCAAAATTCAATCAAGAATCTTTAATATTTTTAAAATTTTAAAATTTCAAAAAAAGGAATATTCAATTTTGTTGTTGTTGTTGTGGTTGAAATGCTGTCTTTCGAATAATCGTATTCAATGTTTGTAAAGGGTTAATTTTTGCTAATTGTTTTTCATTCATAATTTTGTTTCTGTTAACACCACCAACTCCAATATCAGGAGCACCAGCAACAGCATTATCAATATTCGCCATTAAACTTTGATTTAATCGTACAACAATATCATTAATTTTTTTCGATGTCATCGATAAACGATCTTCAATTTCTTTAATTAATTCTTTATTAATTTGCATTTGTTTTACAGTAAATTCAGGTGGCGCTGGTGTTGATTGATTCATTGCCGATGATGATGATTGTGGTTGTGGTGATGGTAGGGTTAATATTGGTCTTGGTAATAATGGCATCTGTGTAACAACCACATCAACCGATTGTAATTGTTGTTGCATCCTGGTGACATTCATCCGTATACGACGTACAGTATATTGCATCTGGCGTATCATGGCGCCCAGAACATAACGTCGCCGTTGTTGTAGATCATGAAATGTTGACTGCCAGGGAATTTAGAAAAAATTTCAATCAAAGAATTTTTCTCAATTTTCAAAACTTACCTGTAATTTTTTATCCAAATCATTCAGGTTGTTCAATAATTGCCCAATGTTATTATCATCTTTGATGTTGTTTTTTGCCACGGATGTTACGGATGCGGATGATGATCGTATAGGACTATTATCCTTATAACGAACATGTTCCATATTTTTTGCCATTAACATTGATGATGGATTTTCTTCATGTTTTTCACGTTGTTGCTGTTGTTTTTGTTGAATAATTTGATTCAAAAGTTGATCCAAATCGCTAAGCATTTGATTTGCATCAACAAATTCATTCATATAATCAAAATCATCATTAATATTTATTGATTTTGAATCAAATTCATCAATAACAGTTGGTTCGAGTGGATTATCACAATGAATTATCATAACCATCGATATTATTATCAATGTAAATACGGTGAACATTTTCATTGTTTTCCAGAATCAAACTATCTATGGCTGTGAAAAGAAAAGATCAAAATCGAATGAATCTTGAATGAGTGATCGATAACGATCGATCGATCGATCGATCGATTGATTGATTAAGGGTAAGATTTTTTTTTCTCAAATAAAAAAAAACTTGATCGATAAGATCAGGGTAACCCTATCGATTGCTTTTTACCTGTTTACGTTTCCGATGATGATCATGATGATTTTGAAAAGGCGAAAAAAAAACCAGTTTTTTTCCTATTCTGACCAACAACAAAAAAAAACCCGACCCGTTATCGATGCTATTGACCTTTATTTCTTGAAGAAAAAAAAACATTCAAATCAAAAGGAAAAAAAAAACATTCAGTTTACCTTTGACCTCATTTTACTTTGAAAAAAAAACATTTCAAAAAAACCAATTTTTTTTTCATTCTTAAAATATATTTTTATTTATTATTTATTTCAATCAAATATCGAAATTTGTCAATTTTGGAACAAAAATGAAATGAAATGATGAAAAAAATGAAAAAAATATCGATTTTTAATTAATTTTGGGATTATTTTTTTCTGTAGTATAGTGTGTGTGTTTGTAAGTGTAAAACAAAAATAAGAAAAAAAACAAACAAAAAAAAAGAAATTCAAAAAAAAGATGATGCTATGTATGTATGTATGATAATGATATTTTTCCCTTGAATTCAAATCCAGTGAAAAAAAAACAAGAATTATTCAACAACAAAATGAATGAATGAATGATGTACCGTACTGCTGTGTTAATTATTGATGTTAAGATTTTTGTTTTTTTTGTAATTTTCAAACAATTTCCCAATGGGAAAAATCAAAGAAAATTTTCATCAATAATTTTAGATAGAAATAATCAATCAATCAATCAATCAGTCATCAATCATCATTTTTTATATATGTGCATAATTCCAAAAAAAGGGGGAAAAAAATTAAAAAAAAGTAATTTTTTACAAATCCAAATTACAAATTAGTTAATTAAATGTGTGTGTGTGTGTGTGTAATGGGTTATCTTCAATAATAATAATAATAATAATCAAATATAATAATAATTATATGTTTTTTATGTTTTATGTTTTGTAATTTTCATTTTTTTAAAAATAATAATAATAATAATAGAAAAAAAAAGAAGATGCTAATCATTTCATTATATATGGATTATCAATCAATAAAAAATAACAGAGAAAAAAAAAACACACACTGAAACCACACACACTTCACTGATCGATAATCGATCAGTGATTTGATTTTTGATGATCGATACACATGTTATATATTAGTAAAATGAATGAAAATTGACAAAAGAAAAGAAGAAAAAATTATAACAAAAAAAAAAAAACAGAAAAAAATGAATGATGATTTCTTTAGTAAAAGATGGATACGGCGCAATTTGAATTTGAAAAAAATTTTCGGTCTTTTTTTTTTGTTTGATTCAATCATTATTACTATTAGAATTATTATTATTATTGGATGTTTCTTCCAATTTTATCCTTTTATTATCGGATGTTTCATTATCATCATTTTCAATAACATTGGTTGTTGATGATGATAAATCTCGTTTGATGGCCGTTATTGCTGATGATGATAATGATGATGAAGGTATTGTTGACGCTGTTGCCAATGATGATGATAATGAAGATGATGATGGTGGTAATTGTGCAGAAGATGTAACAACAACAAAAACTGGCATTGGTTTACTATTATTATTACTATTCACTGATGATGATGATAATTCTGTACCATTACCATCATTATTCTGTTGTACAGCTAATAATGCTGCACTTGTTAATAAATCAATTGCAGATCTTGTTGCTCCAGTTGTTGTTGTTGCTGTTGTTGGTTGTTCCAATGTCTTCGCCGTCGTTGTCGATGATAATGAATTTGAGATAGAATTGTTATTGTTGCTGTTAACATTGGCTGTGGCTGTTGATTTTGTAACATTCATACCGGTCGTAATCGTCGTCGTTGATGATTGCGATTGCGGCGGTGGCTGACAAATAACAACACGTGATAAATTCAATTCAGTTAAAGGTTGATTATTATTATTTGATGGTGCCTGAACAATAACCGTAGGTTGTTGTACAATTTTATGCGTTGTTGTTGTTGTTGTAGAAGGCGATGATTGTTGTTGTTGCATTGAATGCATTTCAAATTTATTCTGTAAATTTGTTAATGCAATTGCAGCAGCTGTTGCTGCTGCATTTGCCGATGTTGTTGTTGCTGTTGTTGATGACGATGATGATGATGCTGATGATAATGATGATGTGGATATTGAATTAGATGATACTATCGTTGGTTGTTGTTGTTGTTGTACAACTGTAAACGTAGTCGATGGTAATGATGATGATGATGATAATGATGATGTTGATAATGATGAACGATCCAGAATAACCTTTGTACCATTAGCTAATGTTAATTGTTGATGAATAGGAAATGTTTCAATGTTATTATTATTATTGGTCATCGTCGTTATCACTGTCGATGTTGGTTGTTGTTGTTGTTGTTGAATGATTATTTGTTGTTCATTATTATTGATATTTTCTTCTGTGAAGAGGGAAAAAAACATTTAAAAATGAATTTTTTTTTATTAAACAAAAAACTTACCTGAAATTGAACCAGGACTACCTGGTGCTGAACGACTTGAATAAATTTTATTATTATTACTATTTGTATTAATTAAAAAATTTTCCGTATTAGGTATTGTTAAATAAGCTGGTGTTACTATTGATCCAACATTAAATCCAGTTGATATAATTTCACTTTCAATATTTTCTTGATGTGTTGGTGATGGACTTGGTTCACGTGATAAAGAATCTGGTGTAACTAAACCGGATACATAATGGCCACCTTGATGTGATGGTGATGTTGGTGCTGATCTTGGATGATTACGGCCACCACCACCACTACCACTACCCCCACCGGATGATGGTTGATCACCCAAAGTATTTGGTCGTTGTCTTCTTCGTTTAAATGCCTGTTCAATTAATTTGGTTTCCGATGATGGATCAATACGCCAAAATGAACCTTTTCCCGGTTCAGATTGTGATCGTGGTACTTTTAAAAAATATCGATTCAATGATAGATTATGTCGAATTGAATTCTTTAAACAAAACGAAACAAAACAAAAAATTCAAAATTAATAATCAACCAAAACAAATAAAACTAAACAAAACAAACCTGCCAACCCTTTTCAGCCGTACGATAATATGGATAATTTTTTGTTATGAATGTATAAATTCCACTTAATGTTAATTGTTTATCTATTGCTGATGCAATTGCTTGTACAATTAATTGTGCATATGAATATGGTGGTTTACCATCTTCATCATTACCATTACCAGCACCACTACTTGTATCCATCATTGAATAATGTAATGGTGATTGTGATGGTGTATGAATTATTTGATTTCTATCTTGATTATTATTATTATTCTGTTGTACTGATGATGATGATTTTGTAGCTAAATTTGTTGTTGTTGTTGTTGTTAATATTGTAGCTTGACCATTTTGTTGTTGTTGTTTTAAAAAATTTGATCCATTCGAATGATGATTAATAATTATACTTTGATGCGATGAATTATTCGATATACTTGCTATAATTGGTGTACCATGTTGTTGAGCATATTGTTGTTGTTGTTGTTGATAAGTTGTTGTTGTTCCAGTTTGTTGTTGTTGTTGTGTAGCCGGTGATAAATGAAATACTTTAATATTTTTTATCTGTTGTTGTTGTTGTTGTTGCAATAAATCATTACCACCACTAAATGATGATGATTCTTGATTACCACCTTGATTATTACTACTATTATTACTATTTGATGATGGTTGTTGTTGTTGTTCTTCTTGTTTACAAGACATTGCAGCAGCAGCAGCATATGCAACCATTTTATGAAATTCTTCAGATTTATGTATCTGATTATTATTCGATGATGATGATGATGTTTGATTATTATTATTCTGATGATGATGTTGATTACCAAAACGAAATCTTATTGAATTTGATCTTGGACTTGCTGGACATGAATTTGCAGCACTAAAAAACAAAAGATAAAATTTCCCAGAAATTAATTTTACGAAAAACTTTTTTTTTTGTAACACTAATTATTTACCTAATTGTACCGGTTGGTGATGGTATTGGACTAACAAAATCTGAATTATTTGATAAATTTGTTGCTATTTCCGGAATGTTTACTTTTAATGGACTATAATATTTTGATGATTGACCATTACTATTTGTTGTTGTTGTCGTTGATGATGTTAACATTATTGATTTATTATTATTATTTTGATGATGATGATTATCATCATTTAGACAATCTTTTTCCATATTATGATGACGATGATTATGATTATGATGATGATGTTTACTTTCAATTAATGATTGAAATTCTAGCCGTATATTGGTTGATGGAAAACGAAATACACAGCTAAATTTTTAAGAGAAAAACATGACATCAATTAGAAAACATTCGAATCAAATAAAGAGAATAACATACGTTGGAGGTAGTTTATATGGTGGTGAACCACGTCGTTGAAATATACCATCAATAAATACACCATTTTTACCTTTACAGGTAAGAAAAAAATTCGATGATGATGATTCAAAATAAATTTCCAAATGTCTACGGCTAATAAAATTTGAATGTCCCATATTAACATCAACTTTACCACGTGAACTATCACGACCGATTATTGTTCGATTTCCACGAATCAAATATTCAAAACCACGTGCTTCTAATTTGGCCATCGGTATTTGTCTGGATTGTATAAATTTTTGACCGGTATTATTTGTATTATCATCATTATCATTTGTTGAATTGTTTTGATTATTTCTATTTATCATTGACCAATTTATTGATGGTTGTGTTGATGATGGTGATGCAGGTGCTGAACGTAATGATAATAATACATGTGCATCATATGCATCTGATGCTGATATATTTGTTGTTGTTGTTGTTGAATGATTATTATTATTTTTCATCGATGATAATGGTGATGAACGATCATTATTTTGGTGGTGATGATTATCATTAGATAATTCATATTTGATTGATGAATTATTATTATTATTAAACGTTGTTGTTGTCGATGTTTCAGCCATATCTGTTTCGGTTATAGATTTATTCAATGTTGAAAAATTCGAATGTTGTTCAATTGAATGATGATGGTTGCTGTTGTTGTTATTATTTGTCAAAATTGGCATTCTTTTTTTTCAAATCATCATTTTTGTTGTTCTGTTGATCATATTTTGCACACAAACAAAATTTTTTCAAGTAAAAAAAAAATTTCAGTCAGAATTTCCAAAAAAAACCAAAAAAGAAGATTCTTAATTCATCTAAAAAGACGGACAGGATGAAGAGGAGGGGGAAAGATAAACAAAAAATTCATTCATAAATAACGTAATCAAAATTTTAATCAAAAATTTGTAAAAAACAAAAAATAAAACCAAAAAACCAGAAAAACAACCAAAAAAAACGTGGATTCAATCTCATAAGACACAACACAGGATCATCATCATCATTAACCACCAAAAACAACAAAAACAAAAATTTATTACCATCCAAAAAAACAAAATATAAAAAGATGTTTGGATTGGATGGCATTGAACATCATTTGATAATAATGATGATGATAGCAATGATTTTCTCTCTCTCTTTTCTTACATCAAATAACAACAAAAACAAAAACAAAATTTTTTTTCCAAAGAAAAAAAAAGCCAAGAAGATGAAAAAAAAGATGTTTTTCTCTCGATATGTGTGTGTGAGAATCATAAACACAAACACAAACACAACACAAAAACATTCATTTCAATTCACACATTGATGATGTATGTTTTTTTCTGGTTAAAATAAATGATGACGACAATGATGTTGATGATGATGGAATTCAAAATTTGAAAAGAAATCTTTCATTCAAAATAATTTCGTCATTTTCTCTCTCTCTCTCTCTCAAAGGAATCATCATCAGAATCCCAACAAATCAAATCAAAAACAGAAAAAAAAATCACAAATGGTGGTTGTCCAAATCAATTACATACCATAATAATTGATGACAAAAACATCAAGAATCAGTGTTTTATTAGGATGGCGGGGAGGGGAATAACAAAAATCACATACATAAAAATCTACATTTGAAAATTCTTTTCACTGATCATTTCACCAATGTTGTTTTTGATTTAATGAAGATGCGGGGAACCAAAAAAAAAACTGAAAATTCCAGAATCAAAAAAAATTTCACCACCACCAAAAATACACAGCTCACAAATAGAAAAAAAATTATAGGATTCCAAACCAAACTAAACAAAAACAAACAAAACAAAAAACCAAAACAACCAAGAAAGAGAGAGAGAGAGAGGAAAAATCGTCATTCGTTGTTGTTGCAGCAGGCCGCTGTTGTTGTTGTTATTGTTTGGATCTGGTGTTTACTTTTTTTTTGTTTTTGTTTTCATTTTTCTTGTTGTTGTTGTTATTTTCATTTCTCGCCTTTCAAAACTACCACCTCTTCTACTTCTTATCCCACCACTACTATAAATGCATGCTTCTTTTTTTTCATAACCAGACATGAAACAAACAACAAAAAAAAAACGTTACCGTCGTTTATAAACAACAACATTTTTTCGAGAGGGGGGGATTCAAGAAGGAAAAAAAACGCCGCCATAATAAACACCACACATATATATCCATTGAATAGTGGTAGAAATTCCAGAAAAAAAAATAATGGTAGTGATAGTGGTAAAGACGGAAATGAATATATTCAATGATGGAAGATAAATAGTAGTAGCATTGATAATAGTAAGAATCCTATATATATCTATAGATATATATAGACAATCCACCACTACCCCCTACTATATTGGAAAAATAATAATAATAATAATAATGAAAACATCAATCGCTAATGATGATGATAATGATGATATACAATGTGTTTTTTCTGTTTTGTTGTTTTGCCTTGGAAAGAAAAACTTATAAAAATCCTACAAAAACAAATCAGACAAAAATGATGATGATGATGATGATCACCCAGTAATCTATTTTATTGTAAAGAAAGAAAGAATGAAAACCATATAGACAAACACACACACACACAGATATCATATATACAGGGTGTATGTATGTTTTTTTGGATGAAAATACCGTTTTTTTTCTATCAACCAAAACTAAACATAGAAATAGAAACATAGTTTCCAAGGAAACATGCCGGTTAGTTCCTGTTGTTGTTGTTGTTGTTATTAACCACCTATTTACCACTACCATAAATCATCAGATAAAATAATAACATTCCGGTCGAATAATATTAATTTTTTTAAAAAACCTGAGAAGAAGAAAAAACCACATAAAGGTAACAACAACAACAACAGAAAATCATTTCATCAAAATAACACACACCTATAAACAAAAAGGAGATAAACAAACAAACAAACAACATTGGGATCCCAAAAACATTATTGATATTTTTGATTGGCGCCAGCAATCCAGGCGTCTTTCCTAATCAAAAAGTCTATATAAATATGCTCTACATACATATAATAATAACATTCGATATGGAAAGTTTTTTTTTGGTTAAACAACTTACCATTTTAAAAAACGATTATTTAAGGATGAAAATGATGAACATTGATTTCGGAATATAGATTATATAAAGTTTTTTCTCAGTGTAATAATAATTTCACCAAAAACAACATACAAACAAACACAAAAACACACAGAAAGAGAAATAATCCAATCAATCAATCAATCAAAAATACATAAGAAAAAGATATTGATTTGTTTATCATCATCCACATTCACATTCAATTTGATTTAACAAACAAAACAAAATAAAATGGCTGGCTTTTTCCCTTTTTCTTTCTGTTATTATTGTTGTTGATTAGCACAAAGAGAAACAAACACAAAAAAAAGATGATTTTCCACGGAATTTTGATTTTTTTTGGGACAAAATGGATTTGGACCCCAAGAAAGATCGAAGAAACGAGAAAAACAAAACAAAAAAACCGAAAAATTCACTGATGATGATGATGATGGTGTTGAAAAAATTCGAATCATAAATAAGTTTGGATCGAACAAAAACCAAAAAAAAACGTTCGATTTATTATTGTTGTTGTTTGTTGATTTGTCGAGGTTTTCTTTTCTTGCGGATAGCCAGCCTGAAAAAAAAGATGGTGTGCTTTTTCTCCCATTCATTCATTCATTCAAAGCAAGCAAACATTCAGTGTTTGCAATTTGTTTGGATGTTTGTTTGTTGTTGATGATGATGATGATGAAAATTAACAACAATAACAAAAACAACAACAACAACAAAAAATCCAATGTTGTCGATCAGATCTCGGTGTGTTTACAACTAGGTCGGATAGAGATGGATGGATGGATGGATGGTGTGAGTTTTCTCTCTCTCTCTCTCTCCCCTTAATGTTGTTGTTGATATTTCAAAAGTGGTGGTGTTTTTGTTGTTGATGATGATGATGGTAGTGGTTGTTGATATTTTTCTCGATGAATGACGAGGAAAACAAAATGTTTTTCTTTATTGGTGAAGAATATAGCAAAAGATTTGGGTTCTCAAATTCCTTCCCCCCTCCAAAAAGAATGATTCTTTCGTTTTTGAATTCAGAGATGAAAGGATAGTGTTGTTGTTTTGTTTGGATTGTTGTTGGTTGTTGTTGTTGTTTTTGGCAAAAGAAAAAGAAGCAAAGAAAAAAAAACACTAAAGTCATCACACATACACCAAAACGAATGAAAAAAAAACAGCATGGAATTTTTTTTTTTTTTTTGCTCATCATCAATCGTTGATCAAAGGTACTGTTGTGGTCACAATTGAAAAACGTAGAAAAAAGTTTCAATTGAAAATGCATACATTTCAATGTTTATGATAATCATACGTTTTGTCATAGTGGTCTGTGTGAATGTATGAAACGATCGACAAAATATAATCAATTATGACAATAGCCTGATCGATAACGTTTTACGTTTTGTTTTGTTTTTTCACTTTTTATTTTGTTTTTGTTGTTGTTATGCCGCCCATCATCATTCGAAATAGACATGCGCAATTTTTATTTTTCATAATAAAAACAAAAACAACAACCGGTATATTCCAGTGATGTAAGAGAGAGAGAGACAGAGAGAATATCAGGGGACAGGGATGATGATAATAATGGTAGTGGCAAAACATAAGGCTATGGTCCCGATATTACGACGGACCCAAAAATGTTTGCGAACTTGGTATGAAAACAGAATGATGGTGGTCACATCAATAAATTCGAATTTGAAATAACACTATTTTTACATTATTTTGTATCATGTTCAGTAGAAATAGCAGGAAATGTTAGATGAATTCGAATGTTCGAACATTCGAATACATCATGTACAGTGCAATAAAAAAAAGTCTTGGATCACAAAACAGGTATACATTTTGGCGAATCTTCAACTGCAAGAAGTAANTTTACATTATTTTGTATCATGTTCAGTAGAAATAGCAGGAAATGTTAGATGAATTCGAATCAACATATCACATCACATATTCGAATGTTCGAACATTTGTCGCTGAACCGTTGAAAGTCGTTAATTAAACAATTCCATAATTAAATGAAGTTATTGTTCGGTTACAGGGCTATATAACGAGTATCTAAAAAATCTAAAAAATCTAGCCGTTTTTGCTAACTTATTCAACTGTTTTTTGCCGTTATACCAATCTCTTTTTTATAAATTGCATTAAATCTTTGTGACAACTTCAAACATTGTTTTTAATTTTTTCTTATTTATTGCCAGTTTATCTTATTGTTTTTTTTAACATGTGATGTAGTTTTCGGTGAGTTCGAAGTATTCGTAGTTTGTCGAGAAGAAAATTGTCGATTTTAGTCGCATGGATAACAACGAATAATAAATTTTTCAATGATGGAACAGTTTTTTTTTTGGAATGAGGGGCAAATCACCCATTCCAACCATCATCAACATCTTTAATCAATTTAAAATCACCATTTATACCTTGTATTTTACAAATTTTATTATCATTATAAATATTTGTTGTGTAAAAAAAATATAAAGTTCATTTCAATCATGTTTATTTTCTTTTATTCTTAAAATTTCGACAATTCCTTCAGAAATTTTCATTTTTATTTCAGTCAATTCTTCAATGGAAAATGTTTCCCAAACATCTTCATATGATTCAATGAATTTTATCATTTGTTCGGTTTTTCTTTTTGTATGATTTTTAGTTGTTGTTGTTTGGGTTAAGATTCCATTATTATCCACATCATCCATGCTTTTCCTTTTTCTTGATTTTGTCCTTGTCGATGTTGACGATGGACGATCCGTTGATGCTGTTGGCGTAAACATTATATTATCATCGGCCGATGATGGTAATCGATTTTCGTCATAATTTTTACGCAGAAATTGTAAAGTCGAATAGTATTTCCATTGAACTTCAATATTATGACCATATGGTTTGTTGATATTATTTTTATAAATTCGACGGAAAATAGTCATAAGTGATGTCCAAGTAGCTTTAATCGAATGAACTGTTTCATCATCGGATTGTCCGGTAACTTCAAAACTGACCGCTGTCCATTCATCATATTTTTTTCTTATTTTCAATTCATTTTGTAAACTAAAATCCCATAAAATTGGTCGTTTTTGTACGGCTAAAATCAATGAATATTTGTCAATGCTCATCATCAAGGAAAACAGTGAAAAATGAATCAAAAAAAACACACAGAATTTTTCAAATTTTTGAAAAACTGCAAACTTTTTTTAACGAATCTGGCAGACTTTTATATGCATCCAACAATGCAATTGTTTTGTTTTGGTTCGTGAGTCTGTTGTTGAGTATATCGCATTATTGAGACCGTAGCCCTAACGTCTAACAAAAATGGTGTCCAGTGGTAGTGGTATTTGCCAAAAGGAATTTCCATCTCCAAAAGATGGCAACACCTGGATCAGGGAAAAAATTTAATTTGAAAAAAAATCCATATAAATTGAAAACATTTTTCGATTGAAATCAATCTTGGGTTAAAAAAAAAAATAAACCATGTCCTGGCTACCAAGATTTGTACGTGATTATCAATGGCAAAATCTAACCATTCTACAACAATATGGTCCAATGATTTTGATTGAACATCATCAACCATTACAACAGCAACAACAATCAACACTTCAGCAGCCACTTCATCAAATCAAAGAACCAATTTTTGATATTATCTATCAAATGAATCCATCAGCAACAACAACAACAACAACAACAACAACATTGGGGTTAATAAATACAACTACTACTAATGTAATTAATAATAATCAAGATGTAAATATATTATGGCAAACTAATAATCGAAATGATGCAATTGAAAGATTTAATTATTTAGAACGAATATTGAATGTTACATTTAGTAAATCAATGTTAACAAAAACACGTTGTATTCGTTTTATAATGAATCAATTGATACCATTAATGATTGATCATCCAAATTGGCTTGATATTCATATTGCAGCATTTGTAAGTGTATAATGAGTGTTAATTTTTTTCTGAAAATAATTTTTTTTAACCCTTAGTTTGGTCTAACGGATTATTTTAAAAAATATTCATTCACACCGAATCAAATTAATATACAACGTGAACCAGATAATTTTACACCATTACATTTAGCAATAATGCGTCAATATGATTCAATTGTTGATCGAATCGCTCAGAATAAACCGGATTTAACACGTATGGATTTTGAAGGAAATACCCCATTGCATTTAGCCGCAATGTTACCAAATAATTTAAAAATATTTAAAATAACAACATCATTGCTGCAATCATTATCGACAACGATTGAATATAAAAATTATGTTTTACAATTAAAAAATCGTTCCGGACTGACACCAATCGATATAATTGCTAGGAATCTGCGTAAAGATTATTTTGTACACCTAATGAAACAGATAGGGTTAACAGCTCGAATGTTGACAATAATTATTGTTCGTTCGGAAAGTGATCATCAATTTCTGCAAATGGTTGATAATGAAAAAATAATTCCATTCACCGATTCCGATATATCGGATATTGATTTTCAACGTATTGATTCAGGTGGTTGTCCATTACATTGGATAACACGTGCAGAAACGATGAAAAAATTCTTACTAAATTTTCATATGGAAACAATAAATTTTCGTCAAGAAACACCATTAATAATGGCTATAAAAACAAATAATTTTAATTGTTCATTATGTTTATTGTTGAATGATGCTAATCCAAATCATTCAGATTTAAATGGTGATTTAACACTTCATCATGCTGTACGTTTATCCAATCAATTATTAGTAAAATTATTATTAATATTTGATGCTAATATTAACCATCGTAATCGAACTGAACAATTAGATCCATATCAATTGGCAACAAAACGACAAGATCAACAAATGGTTATATTATTAGATTCATATATGGAAGCTAGACAACAATCAATTATTATTGATGATGATGATGATAATGATCAAAATTCAATTAGAAATTTAACAATGGATGTTGAACAACAAAAATGTTGTCATTATTTGAATATATCGAAAAAGAATCGTAAAGGGTTAATTGATCAATCAACATCACCAGGAAAGAAAAAGAAGAGAAAAAAATCCAGATTAATTTGTTTTGATGGTGGTGGAATTAAAGGGTTATTTACAATACAAATATTGATTGAATTGGAAAAATGTTTGATTCAAAAACAAAAACAACGTAATCGACAACAGCAAAAACAACCTGGTCAACCTGGTCAGCAACAACCGGGAAAACCGGGAAAAAAACCGGAAAAAAAATTATCCGATTATTTTGATTGGATTGCCGGCACAAGTACCGGTTCGATAATTGCCTATTGGTTTTCACAACGTAAATCATTAACCGGTTTACGTTTACTGTATTTTCATTTTAAAGATAATGTTTTTCATGGTAACCGACCATATTCTACTGAAAAATTAGAAACATTATTAAAAACTAAATTAAGCGAAGCAAATAATATTAATCAAACTGTTGGTGATATTTGGAATGAATCCGGTAAACATTTGATCATTTCTGCAAGTCGTGTTGATTGTTTTCCACCACGTTTACAATTATTCTGTAGTCATCATCGTTTCACTGGATCCAAGAATAAAATCCTAATATGGCAAGCATTACGTGCATCATCTGCTGCACCGACATATTTTCAACATTATCTACCATATATTGATGGTGGTCTTATGTCAAATAATCCAACCTTGGATGCCTTAACCGAATATTTTCGTTATCAACAACATGGTGGCCATGAAAACCTAGACATGGTATTATCGATTGGTTGTGGTTTTCTGCAACAAAATGAAATGAAAAAAAATTTCTCTGCTGCATTTGATAAATTCAATTATTTTCTTGATTTTCGTTCATTTGTAAATGATTTTTCATATCGTTTACATCATCATCAACCATGGACATACGGTAATGAATTAGCATCACATATGAAAAGTCAAGTGACAAATTGTAATGATCATATTGTATTACGTTCACTAACATGGTGTTCATGTTTAAATATTACATTTGGCCGACTGAATACATTATTATCGAAAAAAATACCATTAGATGAATCACGTAATGATGAATTAATATTAGGTTTATGGGATGTTAAATTATTTTTATTTAAACAATTAAATTATTTTAATAAAATTATTGATATTTTATTATTGGATGATGATGATGATGATGATGAACAAGATCAAGATAAAGATCAACAAGAAGATGATTATCAAGATTTAAATATTGATAAAATTCTACAACAACAACAACAACAAGAGCCAAAACAACAACAACAAGAAGAACCAAAGCAGCAAGAACCAGAGCCAAAGCAGCAACAACAAACTTTAGGCCAATATGATGATGATAATGATATATTTCATGATACACATAATTAAAAAACAATTTTTTCCATAATCTTTGATTTGAAATCAAAAAAATTAATAATAATAATAATAAAGTAACTGTTTTGAATTATGAGAGCATATCGTGTTAATTTTGCGGGCGTATTACTTCTTTTTTTGGATGATGATGATGATTCTTTTCTGATGTGAAAATGGAAAAACAAAAAAACAAAAGAAGAAAAAAGCTTTTGGCTCCTAATCTGAATGAATTGAATGAAGGTTCTGGTTGTTTATTGAAGCATGTCATATAGTAGCTAAAAAAGAAATGAAAAGAAAAAAATTATTATTATCATCATTGATCTTAATGTGATAATAAGATTTTTAAAATTTTCATTAAATGATGACATATATGACGCTATTTTAACTATATCCACACACACACACACAATAAGATTAAAATAGAATTTTTTTTTTTGATTCGATTATCAAAGAAAATGGCCATGATTTGTTTACCTTGTTTCGAAAGGATTAAATGTCCAGGATTCCAATCAATTTTTTCGTTGTTTTAGTTGTTGTTGTTGAAAGAATCTTTTCTTCTTCATCTGTTTTGTCTGTTGAAAATTTTATTTTCCAATTTTCTTTTCTCTTCCTTCCTTGACCTACTCTTTCATAAAACGGTCGATGAATATTTATTATTGAATTCGAAAAAAAGAAAAAGAAAAACCGGATCGACGATTGTATCCGGGTATTTGTTTTTTTTGTAGTTGTTGTTGTTTGTAAATAATACCCGACCAACCGATTGTTTGTCCATTCATATTTTCGGATAAATATCCGTATAATTTTTCTTCTTCTGTTTGTTTGTTTGAGAACGGATTTTATCAAGAAAATAGTCCCAATATTTTATGGTTATTCATTATGAATCTAATGGACCATAACCATAACCATGATGATTTTGCAAAACTGGAGTGGAAATTATTTGCTTTCATTTTGGCAACAAAAAAAAAAGAAAAAAAAATTCAGTGAAAATTGAAAAAAAATCAACAAAGTTTTCAAACACACAAACTTACTCACGTGATATGTTCTGATTTTCTTGGAAATGGATTTTTTTCATCACAGAAAAAAAAATTCCCAAACAGAATTTGTACTATTTTGATGGTGGGGGAGGTGATGAGAAAAATAACCAATTTTTACGTTGAGAAAATGTTTTCAACAACAATCAATGATGATAATGTTCATGGGAAAAAAACGTCGTATATCGTCGTTTTTCTGGATTTATTTTTGTTCTTTTGGTAGTATTTTTTTCTTCGGTTATTTTGGAAAATTTATCGTTCACTCCTGTCTAATTATATCAAATCTATTTTATTTTATTTGAATTTTATTGAGATTAATTACATACCATGGTGCCGAAACGAAACAAACCAACAAAGATTTATGACTTGAAGAAAACAAAAAAACAAAGATCTATGACAATACGAATTACGAACAGAAACAAACAAACAAACAAAGATCCTCCAATATTGTCCATCATCAAGAAGTTTCGAGGTTTCAAAATTTCAATCAATCATCAAAAATCACAACAAAAAAAAAAGATTCGAATTCGAATCTTTTCGACATTCGAAATGACAACAACGAAAAAAATGTGATTCATTCATAAATATCGTTTTCGAAAGAAAAAACGTTCGATCGAACGTTTTTTTTGTTGTTGTTCTAACGCTGTTCTAATCGATCATCATTATCATCTTCGGTAATTATGGTTATCTTTTGTTTTTTTTGAAAAAAATTTTCATTTTTAAAATTATAAAGATAATTAAAATGATGACGATGATGACAAATTTAGAATAAAGTTTCTTTTTTTTAAAAAATGATAATAATAATAATTTTCGCTTCGTTTGTTTTTAACAATGTGATCATTACTGAATGAAGAAAAAGCTAACTAAATTGGATCAACGATCATTCGGATGATATGTCATCATCATCATGCTATATTTTGTCCATATATAAAGATATAAAGACAAAGATGAATTTCAAGATTTTCTCTCAAAGCTTTCTCTCAGGTAAATGTTTTCTCTTTCTCTATTGCAACCTCGAATCTACCATTGTGTACCACACTATTCACAGCAAATTTGGCCAAAGCTTTGATCATTCATATCAGTTGCTTGTTAGTGAATGGCTCGATAACATTTACCGTGTGCAACCGATTGAACCGAGTGAAAAAAACCGGGTGATTGAAAATCGATCGATCAATCGACAACAAACAACATCGAACAACAAACCAAAAAAGATTTCAACATCTTTATCAAGTGTCTGTGTGTTTTGTTTTGTTTTTCAACAACAACAAAATCGATCAATCGATTGATTGATTTTTTGGACATAAATTTTCAACAACAACAAATCAAAATTAAAATTCAACCACAACCATCAAGTGTCCGGTTCAGAAAAATTTTTTACGAAAAGAAAATAATAATATTCATCACAATCAACAATCGAAAAAACAAAATATCCCGGATGTTTGTGTGGCTACATTTTATTCATTTTATTCATTCATTCTTGAATGGTGACAAAAACAGGATTTACATTTTTTCATCATCATCATAAAAAAAGTGATTCGAAGATTTTTTTATTATTCAGTCTTTTCGGTTGAAATAATTTTTCTTGTTTCATTAACAACGTGTACAACGACAAATAACATCAGCATATTATTAAAGTGTGTGTGTGTGTGTTTGAAATACAAATTATTATGGGTGATTGTGAACAAACACATCACCTGGACATCATCATCTTTGGTCTATGATTTTTCAACGTTTATAGTGGATGTTTTAAAATAAAGCTAATGGTAAACACCCATTATCATCATTATTTGAAATGATATGGTCGAATGATTTCATCATGGTTGTAGCTTTTGTCTGGTATTAAGGCTACCAAACATAGCAACGAACACAAAGCATTGACAACCCAAAGTGAGATCATCCAAATCATCAAAAACCAAATGTTTCATGTAGCATCAGCATCAATTTTTATAAAGTTTTTTTTAGTTTCTAAAATTGAATTTTAGTTTTTTTCCAACAAAAAAACAAACTCAAAGAATTCATGTTTTTTTGTTCGTGAAGTATCATCATCTTTGTGATTTTTTGTGAAAATTTCAATTTCGAAAGGAAAAATAACCAAAAAAAAAACATCATTCAAAGAAAACCAAAAAGGTAAGAAATAGTTTCCGGAAAGTGAATTTTCATTTCGACAATAATTTCCCGTTGTTTTTTTTTCATTTTGCCGAAACTTTTCTTTAATTTTTCTTTCAATTTTATTTTTTATTTCCATTTTTATTGATCATCATCATCAAAATGGAAATGTGTAAAAAAGAAAATTATTATTTCAGGCATAATATTAAATGTTTGTTTGAAAATCACTATAATAATAATAATAATAATAATCTTTTAGAAAATGTGTTTTCGTTTGCTAACAAAACCATGATCTCTTCAAAGAAGATGATGATCATCATCAACAGTTTGGTTTTTTTTGGTGAATGGTGATTATTCGATGTTTTCGTGATATCCAATGATCATCATTCATCATCATCATCATTTTTAAACATCTTTTACATTTACATTTCGATTGTGTGTGTGTCGGTGTGTTTAAAATTAATATATTCTGAACCAAATTGATTTGAATTGAATTGAATGTTGCCAAACCGACCGACCAACCAGTCAAACAAACAATGATGATGATCATGATGATCATCAACGGATTTAGACATGGACATTTTTTTAAAGAAAAAAAAAGATGAGATCCACGGATGCTACAATCGGTTATTTTTTTCAATTAAATCATCATTATGATGATGATGATGATGATATACCTGCATTGTATGAAGAAAAAATTCAGCGAAAAAAAATATCGAAATTTTCTATACACGCGAAACAATCTGAACAGAAAAATAAAAACCAATCGAAATTGGTTATATGTATAGAGAGAGATAGAGATAGTCAGTGAAAGAAATAAATAGAAAATCTATTAATAGAGATCTAAATTAGATTTTCAATCATTCATCATTCATCACAATCACCCGAACCATAAAGTGATCGTCGTACATCATCGACTTATCGCCGACTATAGATTTGATTTGAAGAAAGAAAGAGATATAATTTTCCAATCTCAATTGATTTGTTTTTACAACAAAAAACAAAACAAAATTTTTATTGCATTTTTCATCATTGGAAATTATTTTGTCCTTTTTTCTGTTGTTGTTTATTATTCAACGACAATTTAGTTTCAAAAAAATATGTTTGTCTGTAATGATCAAAATATATGGAATTGATTGATTGATGGATGAAAGATTGAATGAGACGAAAGAAATCTTAATTTCAACGGAAAAATAGACAGAAACAAAAAAAAAACAATCATTTTTCATTCTAATTTCTTCGCTGTCTTCTTCTTCTGATTACCATCGATCGATCAATCGATCGATCGATGGAAAAAATGAAAAAATTCCAATGGATTTATCCATCATTTAAGTCATGAATGAAATGAAAAATGAAAAAACAAATTTTTTTGTTTTTTGTTTTGGCTATGAATGATTTATAATCACCATTTTTGGCGAATAGCTTAGTTTTTCGTTTGTTTGTTCCAGGAACATGAAAAATGTTATGTTTCAAACTTGACACTAGAATAATGCTTTTGACCTGTTGTTGAATGACTATCATTGTAAATGTTAAAAAAATATATAATTAATATTTACCTGTGCTAAAATCATGATGATTACTTATCTTATCTCATTTTTGAAACAGGCACAAATATATTTCCAAAAGTGGTTAAAATCTGACTGACAACACAATATGGAAACATCAGCCGAACGATTAAGACAGGCTGTTCGTGATGGTTATCTAGAAATATTACGTAATGCAACACGTAAAGAATGTAATCATCCGGATGATGATGGTATGACTGCAACACATTGGGCATCATATAGTGGACAGTTAAATGCATTACGTATTATTGTTGGTCGAGGGTTAGTATAACAGGTGATATTGAGAGTTTTTTTTCAATTTTTTTTTTGTATTTCTTTCTTAGTGGTGATCCTGAAAAATGTGATAATTTTGGTAATACAGCATTACATTGGGCTGCACAAAATGGCCATATAAAATGTGTTTCATTTTTAATATCATTCGGTGTTAATTTATGGTCAATGGATAATGAATATCATACGGCTAAAGAAGTAGCCGCCCTAAATAATCGTAATCAAATTGTTGATCTTATTGATCATGTTGTTGCACAACAAAGTGCATTAAATTCTCGTACTGTAATACGATTGAAAGAGAAGGCACGAATCGATGCAGAAAAACGTATAAAATTATTTCGAAAATTACAACAAAAAACTATACGACAAGCGGAAAAAGATGAACGTAAAAAAAGAGAGAAAAATTTTTTAATGAAAAGAAATCTTTGCCTAATCAATACAAACAAAGCTGGATCGACAACAATCATCGATAATAATGATCAACAAACATATGATGAATTATTTAATATTTATGATACATTAGATATGGCAACAAAGAATGCCATTACACGAAGTCAATTGCATAATGTTGGTGGTGGTAATTCAAATGTTGTGCCGAAATTTTCCGATCTTGTCAATGGTAATAGTGTTGGTGGTGGTAGTATAAAATCATCCGTTGGTACTAAAATGCCGAAAATTTTATCAGGTGTTTCTCGTAAAGTATTGACAAGAAAACTTAATAATTCTACCGATACGATTAAATCAAATTCAACTTATTCAACAATTGCTGATGGAACATGTCGTTCAACACAATCAATGATGGTTGGCATACGTCGTGATGATCATATTGTTTATGTACCAAAATTTAATTCATTGAGCGTAAATGATCTACTTGCAGCAACTGGAAAAAAATCAAATGATCAACGAAAAGAAAAAGATGATGATAAAGATACTGTTAATGAGGATTGTTCAAACAACAATAGTTATTCAAGATTACCATTAAAAGATGTTTTCGATGATAATAATCGCCACTTTCAATCACAACAGCAACAAAAAACGATATCATCGACTATTCAAAGGCGATCAACAACAACAACGAATAAATTAACCAGTACATTCAATCGAAATAACATAAAAACAACGTTGAAAAATAAATTATTAAAATTGAATCGATTAGGTAATGATCGATCATCTCCTTCTTCGACAATTATCGATTCGAAAACAAAACTAATTCGAGCACGATCGGAACCGGATTTTCTTCAAATTAATTCATTGTTAGATAAAATTGATGATGATGATAAAATCGATATGATGGGAACAACAACAAGTAGCATATTTGAACGACCTGGATTCGGTTCGGTTTCATTTCGTGGAAAATTTACACCCGATTTAATGTTTTCAACAACCACAACAAATCAATACGATGATGATGATGATAATGATAATAATGGTAACGAATCCGATGATTCTGGCCAAGATCATAATAGTAATGGTAGTAATAGTACAGGTGGTTTAAATCATCAAAATATTGATAAAAATAATGACATAATTGATTGTGATTTGATAAAAAATAATCCATCAATCGTTCAAACATGGCCTGAACGTGATAGTATAACAAGCGATAGTATTGGTAGTGCCGGAAGTCTTGTACATACAGATATTATTGATTTTTCTGATATTGATTATATTGATGATCATATTGTTATTATCGATAATGATGATAATATTAATAATAATATTGGTCATGAAAAATTATCATCATCATCATCATCAATGATTGGATCGGAAAAAACAACAATATCCGTATTATTATTTTTATATGCCAATGATCTAAAAGATTATTATGAAATATTTGAAAATGAACAAATCGATATCGATACATTGATGATGTTGGAAGAATCAGATTTAAAAAGTTTAGGTATACCATTTGGACCAAGAAAAAAACTGATGACAGCCATTAATCAACGTCGAAAAATATTATCAAATCATCATCATCATCATCATCATCATCATCAGAATAATAATTACAAACATAATAATAATGATGAATTTGATGTATTTGAAACAAGATTATAAGATTTTAATTTATAATTTTAATTTTATTTTTGAACAGAAAAAAATGAAACTTTTGTTTTCAAAATGAGCACTATTTGCAAATACCGTGTATTTAATTTTGTTTGTTTGAATGTTTTTATCTTTTTTTATTTTCTCCAAAAAAAAAAACAAACAATAACAACAACGGAGGCACACATTTTATTTTTTTTTTCGGAAATCATTCATCTATGAGCTATTCAAATATGTTGTACACGATAATCTTAATAGTAATGGATTATAATGAATGTTATGATGAGTAATGAAAATGGAATGAAATGAATGAATTACTGATGTGGATGATGATAACGATGATGATATGGAACATACCATGCCTATATAGAGATTATTATATAAATAAGAATCAGAATTATTATTTCATCTAGAAGAAGAGAGATGTCATCATTATAGATAAGGTAAGATGTTTTGTGATATAATTTGTTGCCGGGTGTGGGCTATTTGATTGATTTGTTTTGGTTTTTTTGTCACTATTATTTCAAAAATCAATCAAGGTTGTGTGTGTTTGTGTTTGTGTGTCTATGAGAGACTATATTTGCAAAATGAATATTTTTTTGTTTTGTTTGTTTGTTCATATTTGTAATGTAAAATTAAAAAAAATCAACATGATGAAGATGTGATGATGATGATGATAAACTAATAAAAGTAAAGCTGGATCCATTAATTTTTTTTCTTATTAATTATTCATTCAATACGATGGTTGTTGATAATTAACATTTGCTTCTTGTGTAGCCATTGCCGTGAATGGATTTGAATGATAATTTGGATCTTCATCCGTTGCTGATGCATATTGTTGATAATTATTATTATCTTGTATTTGTTGTTGTTGGCCATATTCATTTGTTGTATAACCGGGTTGTTGTTGTTGATTTGCATTCAAAACGGATGGATCAAAACCGCTTGTAAATTCAGTCATATCGGCTCCTTGTTGCCAACGTTGGTATGCTAAAAATGCACAACCACCCTATTTTGAAAAAAAATCAAAATTTTAAAAAAAAAACCGAAAAAAAGGTAAAGAAAAAAAAACATCATCATACCCAAGTGAGAATAGAGAAAAATGAAAAAACAATAGCAGCCCGACAATTATTAATACCATTACCAAGATATGGATAATCAGCTTTACCCCATGTAATAGCCAAATAACCAAAAACAATTAGATAAAGTATTGACCATGCAGCGGAGAAACCAACATCACCAAGCACTGCACGACGACGTAATTTAATACTGGACAGATTTTGAAATATTGCTTCCAATGCTAAAAATGCTGTTGCAGCTAAAAACCCGATAAAACCGATTGTTGAACCAAAACGACATGCAGCATTATTATTATTATAAAGACAATATTCTTTACGGCCTTTTTTATGCCATGCATTGAATGAAATACAACACCAAACAATTATTGAACATAACTAGAAAATTACAAAAAGTCAAAAATCAAAAATCAATCAAAAATTCAAAAAAACATTTACCCAACAAAGAAATCTCAATATAACTTGTGGTCGTGTAATATATGTTATTGGATCAAATCGGGCGCCTAATTGCAGAATTGCAGAATTATGATTAGTAAAAGAAAATGAAACAAACGAAAAAATTCTTACCCGTTTTACCCGCACCAAATGCTACATTATTGTTCATCATACTGTTCATCGTTCGGTGATTATTTATTGAATTTTTGAAAAAGAATTAAAAATTCTCAAATGAAAAAAACAACAACAACGATTTAATTCTGGGATTGAAAGATGATGATGTTTATTTTCGATTTTTCATCTATGGGCCATTTCCAAATCAAACTAGAAAAGAAGATGAAAAAAACCAAATCAAGATGCTCAACGGTCACAGATTTCCCACTCAATATATATAGTTACGGGTGGTGGTTTTTTTCAAGCAAAACAAAACAGAATCCAGAATCTATATACAATGTGGTGAATGTCGAAACAAACAAAAAAAAAATGTAAATAAAAGCGATTCTAGAAAGCAAGAATAGATTCTTGTTTTGCTTTTTTTCGTATATAGCAGAATTCTAAGGACACAAAAACAAATTCTCGGCCCAGAAAAAAAATCGATCAACCAACGGACAATCGGCATTTTCAATATAACTCGAAAACACGGACGGATATTTACACATTTGACATCCTTCGACTAAATATATAGATGACAAATGTGGGTGAAAATAGCCGCGCATATATTAAAATATTCGATTTTGGTTTTAATTGAAAAAAATCAATTTTATTTTTTTATTTTTTCTTTAAAAGCTTGTGAAAAATCAATCAATCAATCAAATAATGATAAATTAAAGACCGGAGGGAAGGGGAAAAAAATATCACAGAAATGAATGCAATGACCAATGAATGATGAATTCCCCAAAAATATCATCGTCCAATCCGAATCCGATTCATTCATAAAACAAACGATAGACAAAAATGTTCAAAAATTTCTTTTTTTTTTTGTATAAAAAAAATTTCAATAAAAATTATTACTTCGGTTCTTCTCTTCTTCTTAACGCATTCTTCAATTAAAACAAAAGGGGAAAAAGGGGGAATTGGTAAAGCAAAATTACAAATTTTTTTTCTTTCTTCTTCATCATCATCATTTGTTGTGAGAAAAAGTGTAATGAAATTTTTTTAAAAAATTAATAAGTTATATACACACAGACGACAAACAAACACACACAAAATCATTTATATGAATTGATGAATTGGTTTTGTATTACAGCTTTTCTAAATCTTCAACCGTCAAGGCATTTTGTAATGGTAATGGAGGCAATCGATGATGACCACCATTATTATTACCACCACCACCATCACCACCGGTATTAATTGTAATATTTGAATTTGATTGACCAATAATATTCATACAATGTTGATGATGACGATCATTATTAATATTATCATCAAGAATAGAAGATGTTGATGCCATTTTGAATACATTAAAAATATCATTCGGATTGACCGATGTTGTTGTTGATGATGATGATTTTGTTTTTGACATTTCCGACGATTGTTTGGTCGGTTGATTTGGTGAAATATTCAATTGTTGCATCAATAAATTTGTCATTTCACTTAGATCTAGATTTTTTTCAAACAGAAAAATTAACTTAAAATCCAATAATAATCATCATCATTGATTTGACTTACTTTTCGGTGAATTATCACTATTATTAACAGCAGCAGAAAATTGTTGTTGTTGTTGTTGTTCGATTGAATCTGATGATGTTGACATTTTTTTCGATAAATCTGCTAATGTTTTTTGTTGTTTATTAGCTTGATTTTGATTATCATGATCTTTAAGTTTACGAAACACTGATGTTGGTGTAAATTTTGAATTTTTTAATAATTTATTTGCCATTGAATTATTATTATCTTCATTTTGATTCGATTCAAATCGATTTGATTCATTGAATATTTGCTGTAGATTCATTAATGATTGATTATTATTGTTGCGAATATTCGATGTAGGAATGATTGGAAGATGTTGGTGTTGTTGATGAATAATATTGGATGGAATTAAATGTGGATGATGCGGCGGTGGTAGCGGTGATTGATGGCCATGATGATTAAAATTAATAAATTGCTTTTCAGCAGCACCTGAAACAGGATGGATTCCTAATGGAACTTTTACAGGTCTTAATGGTGGACGCATTAACATTGTACGAGGAAAACCACCACCCATCATAAATGGTGATTGTTGTGATTGCGAATAAGGTGGAAATTGTTGCATACGATTTAATCCAGAATTCGGTATCATCTGATTCATTGCATTCATAGGCATAATAGATCCATGGGGATGCAAAACCGAATGACCAGGAGCGGCAGCGGCTGCTGCAGGAAATAAAGGACGTATCGGACCAGAAGATGGAAAATTTGGATAAGCAGGTACATATTGAATACCATCCAATGTTATCAATGATGACGATGATGATGGTGGTTGTTGTTGTTGTTGCAATGACCCACGTTTTAATGGATCCAATTCAGAAATTTCATTATTCATTTGAATGTTTGTTGCTTGCTGTTGTTGTTGCTGTTGATTATCAGGTGATAAACGACAACGAAATGATTTTTCAAACATAGCCTGTAATGTTGTTGAATCCATTGATGATTTTTTCATCAAATTACTATCACCACCACTATCATTATTATCATTATCGTTATTATTCATCAACATCATTAAATTTGATGGTGATGTTTGTGATGGTGGCGGTGCTTGTGGTGCGGCTAAAAATTTCAATTTCGACATAATGGCAAAATCTTCAGCTGTTAACTGATTCGATATTGGTTTTGGTGTTTGCGTTGATGATGAATTCGATGTTGATGTTGATGATAATGATGAACCACCACCACCACCACCATTATTATTCGAATAAGATGCTTCTAATTCGCTTACATTAACAGCTTCAGATAAATTAATAGAATTCATTGTTGGCGATATTTTTGGTAATGTTTTCTGTAATTGATTAATATCAATATTTTTCTTTTGAAATAAATCCATCAATGATATATTCGAATCATTTGCAAATGATGATGATGATAATGATTTTCGTTCCATTTCACAATTATTATCATCATCATTATTATTGGCCATTTTACTTTTAAACCATCTTGCTGAACGACTTGAATTTACACCAAAAAATTGTGCAAAATCATTATCAATATTATCCAATAATGATATATCGGATGAATCAAGAAATGAACTAAAATCATCTTTTGAAATATCATCATTAATCATATTAAATGATAATGATTCTTGATTTTTAACTAATTTTTTATCATCATTATCATTATCATCATCTTTTTCATCACCATTATTATCATAATCAATACCACCATCATCATCATCATCATCGCCATTATCATCATCATCAAAACCTTTAAGATCAATAAAATCTGTCATTGATTTTGGTCCATCGGAAAACCATTCTGGTTCTGGTTCTTTATTTGAATTATATGAATTATAATCACTACCACGGCCATTATCATAACGATAATTTCTATGACCACCACCACGACCATGACCACCATTATTACTACGATGTTGCGAATGTTGATGATGATTATCTTGATGACGATTAATTTTTCCACGAAAATTTGGACTATAACGTTCAGTACGCCAACTTGGTTGTCCACGATCACGATCACCACCAGATGATAATTCTGATGTTGATGATGGCTGTTGATATTTATTAAAACGATAAATTTTGGTTGTATTTTCACTATTATTGCTATTGTTATTATTATTATATGATGATGATGAACGACCAGATCCACCACTATTTCCACTCAAACTACCACCACTACCAACATCATTTCCATTTCCACTTTTTGTTGTTGTTGATGACGAACGATTATTATCCATTAATAATTCAATCAAATCAATATTATGTCGTTCTTTTTTCTGAAATGATAGAATAATTTCTTCATCTAATTCGGGATTTTTCCTATTTAAATTTTAGAACCAAAAAAATGAATTCAGGTTTTTTAAAATGGAAAACAAACGAAAAACTTACAATCGAGCTAAAAATTCAGTTTTAGTCATTTTTGATGTTGGATGTTGTGATAGTGCTAATAGTTCATCCCTATTGTATTTATAAAATTTTGGCTGAATTTTTTCAAATTTTTTCAATTTTCTTTCAGCTAAACGGCTGAATGCTATATTGATTGAATGAATAAAATAAATAAAACTTTGGGTTGAAAAAAACAACATTAAAATTTACTTACCACGTGATGTTTGATCATTTTCGAAAAAATCATTAAAATTTTTTACAGGTATTTTATCGTTTAAACTGTTCATCATTCAAGAGAGAGAGAGAGAGACTAAAACAGAGGTTGAAAAACTGACCAAAAAAAAATCAAAAATCAATTTCAAAATAACCCAAATGAAAAAGTCAAAACATACCGAATGTCAGAATTTTGAAACCAAAAAACAAAAAACTTTAAAAAAATCAAAAATATCGTTGAAAAGTCTTTATCTACAAAAAAAAAAAACAATTGTGCTGGCTGGATTGATTGATTGATCACAAGACGGGTCAGGGTGTGTGTGTGTTAGTTTGTTAATCAGAAAAAACAAAAAACAAAAATCTTTTAAATTTTCAGATTTTCTATGATGAAAATCGCTGTCTCTTGCTTGCTCACTCGCTTCTTCAAAGTTTTTTTTTCAAATCAGAATGATTTCTGTTTTGAAAATTTTTTTGAATTGAAATTATTTTTTTTTCAAAAAAAAACGCAGTTGATAAATAACGTTGTTGTTGTTGTTGTTGGTGATGATGATGATGGAAAAAAAATGACGATGAAGAGCCAGAAAATGTAAAGTAAAAGGCAGCGGCGGCGGCGGCGTCATAATACAATTGATGTTTGTGTTTGGTGGTGGTATAATGAGCGCATAGAACACACAATGTTCGATCATCATCATTCGAACGATGATGATGATGATGCTGATGATGATGATAATGATTCATTCATAAACAATGTTACATTGGGATTTTTCTTTTTTCTCTCTTTTTTCAAGTGTAAAATTTTTGACAAGTTTGAAAAAAATTCGAATTTTTGTTTTCGGGATTTTATTCAGAAAAAATTTAAATGGATTTTTACCCGAATTGATTAGAATTACCGATTTTCGGTTATCCACACAATGGGTACCTATATCAATTCAAAGGAAAAAAAGTTCAATTCGATGGTTATTCTTTAAAATTAATGCGACCGTGGCGCAATCGGCTAGCGCGTTCGGCTGTTAACCGAAAGGTTGGTGGTTCGAGCCCACCTGGTCGCGGTTATAATTTTTTTTTTTTTTGAAAAAAAAACTTTTAAAATACGGATCAACATCCCCATTATCCATCAGCAGTCATTACGCATCTCATGATGCTTAATGATTGGATCAAAAATTGATTGCAATCACTTTAGTTGATTTTTCAGTCTGTCAAAATCCAGTCATAAAATAATTGAAAATTAATTATCATTATGGTTTCTGCCATTGTTGCTTTCATTATCTTATCTGGTTTTTCTGGTTTAAAAAAAATGAGTTAATCAAATTATAGATCGTAATTCAATTACGTATTTAAACGTTAAGTAGTTCAATAGGAAGCACAGACACAAAGACAAAAGGAATGTGTGTGTGTGTGTGTGTTGAGAAACATGAAATAAGGTGATGATAATCTCTTCTTTAGGCGGATAGGATTTATAAAGAAGAAAAAAGCTGATTTAAATCGAAAAATCAATCATCGATCAAATTGTAAACATCATTGATCCTGTATCATCATCTTCCGAGAAAAACACACAAAATGAATATTGAAAAACCACAAATCGAATCACCATCATCATCCGCATTACCGTTGCCGTTACCATTAATACATCGTACAGGTGGATTTTCCGTTATAACCGCTACATTTTTTATTGTTGGTGAATTGGCTGGTGGTGGTCTACTTTCATTACCGCATGCTATTTCATTGGCAAGTATGTTTTTCTCTGAAAACAAAAACAAAAAACTTTAAAAAAAGAAAAACCTGATAACTAAACTCACCTGAAATTTCGTTTTTTTTTCATTCAACCAACAGGTTGGTATGGTATACCGATAATATTTTTTGCATCAATTTGTGCTAGTATTGCTGGTTATTATCTGGCAAAATCATGGATGATTTTAGAACAACATTTTCCGGAATATCGTCATTCATTAACACGAAAACCATTTGCAACAATCGGTCAATATGCATATGGTAAATGGATGAGTATATTCGTATCCATATTGATGAATGTAACAAATACCTGTGCAACAACTGTATTCATTCTGTTTGCAAGTGATTTACTTTCACAATTGACAAAATCATTTATCGGTTATGATATTTGTCAATGGATACCGATTACAAGTGTTATTTTCTTAATACCAATATTATTCGGATCACCAATTGATTTTTGGCCAATCGCATACGGTGCTACATTATCAACAACAATCGGTTCAATTTTATTGATAATATCGTTAGCCATTCAAGTCAAACGTCATGGTACAAGTAATGAATTTCAAATACAGAATTTTGAAAATTTTTCCAGTTGTTTTGGTATTGCATTCTATGCGTTTGGTGGTGCAGCAGCATTTCCTAGTTTTCAAAATGATATGCGTGATAAAAATCAATTTAGTAAAGCAGTTATATTTGGTTTTTTAGGCTTACTATTGCTTTATGTTCCGGTTGCAACATTCGGTTATACAGCATTCGGTATTTATTCAGAAGCAAATATTTTAAATAATTTTCAATCAGATTCATTATTGAATATATTCATTACGATTGTACGTTGTTGTTTTCTTGTACATTTTTGTACGGTAATACCGATTACAATTAATCCGGTATTTTTAGATTTGGAAGAATTATTACGGATACCGAAAGGTAAGTTGAGCAGAAAACAACCAAACAAACAAAACGTTCGAAACATTCTAATCGATACTATCGATATTTTTTTTTTGTCATATAGCCTTCACATGGAAACGGTTATTATTTCGAACGTTTATGTTAATATTGATGACATTTTTGGCTGCAACATTTCCAAATTTTGGTCAAATTCTTGAATTGATTGGCGGATCAACAGTAACAATAATGTCATTTATATTACCACCATTATTTTATATGAAACTTTGTAATGAATATAGTGATGATAAAAATCCTAATGATGAATATCAATGTCCATTATGGTTGAAAATTGTATTTGGTATATTGATTATAATGGGTACTGCAAGTGGTATTGCATCAACATTCGGTACATTATCACGTTGGCAACCATTAGAATCTGCTTGTTATATTGCTGGTCATTATAAAAATCAAACAAATTTGTAATTTTTAAAAAAAGAAATGTTTGTATTTTATTTTTGTCTTATTTTTTGTTTATATTTCAAAGTGAAAAAATTCAAATTTGGTCACTCATCGACATTGTTGACGATTTTCAAATTGTCGAATTGTACTTTCAATCCAATCCAGATAATATGAAACCTGTGTAAAAACAGTATTCGGAATACGGCCATTATTACAGATACCCGGGCCAAATGATACTAGTCCAAATTGTACATATTGTTGTCCTTGCCGAATGATTAATGGTCCACCTGAATCACCTTGACATGGTGCACTATTATCAACATCTTGACAAACCATTGAATCAGCTATATTAACTGGATATTGATAACGACGACATTCATTATCCGAAATAACATTAATATCAGTATATTGTAAACTACGGGCTAGTACACCACGATCACGTGTCAAACCCCATCCGGCAACACGTGCACGACCATGATAATCAAATGGTGGTGATTGCCGCGGTGGCAAACAAATAGCATTAATATTACCACCTTTTTGATATGTCAAACGTAATGGATTTGATTTCGGTAACCGTATCAAAGCGATATCATTTTTAAATGAACCACGTACACCAATCCAACCAGGATGTTTAAATGCACAATCAGCATTACGTGATATTCGTCGGCTATCACCATAACCACCACGTATTAAACTACCGGCAACAACTTCAACTGCTTGTGCTGAATATTGTCCAGTTTGTTCACTTGATATACAATGTGCAGCCGTCAGTATCCATCTTTCATTAATGATTGAACCACCACAAACCATATCACCATCACGTGTTGAAATACGTAAAAAAACTTGCCATGGAAATTGTCCTGGTGATGCTGGCCGTCCATTTACGATACGATCAATGGAGAAAAATCTTGTTCGTCCACAATCCGCAACGCCTATCGATATTGGTTCACTTGAATTTGTTGATGGTGATTCTTCATCGGGAATTTCATCATCAATTTCTTGTTCAATTGGTAATTCGGTTGTTGTTGTCGATGTTGTTGTTGTTGATCGTGATTTTATAAAACGTTTTAAACGTAATGGTTGTTGAAAATCATTGAATTCATCAGTGGCCAAAACAGCGATAAAATTTATAATCAACAGAATGGCTGTCGATTTCATTTTTGTTTGCCAAAGTCGAATTAATTCGTTCTTCGAAGCGAAAAATTTTGGTGATGAAATTATCCTGTTGATGATCGGTATTTATACCCAAAAAACATCGTTTTTCGATTCGATTCTGGTCGAATCAATGACCGGCCATCCATCATCATCACTATAGTGAAAGGATTCTAAAAAGGAATTTTATCTTTTTGTTGAATCTTTTTATTATGTTGATGAATACAAACTACCATTATCTACCTATAAATGGTCATTCACTTTTATTTTCACTTTCATCATTTGATCACTTTTTGATTGATTGATCAGTGCAAAAAATGTAATGCCATTTTATTGATCTTTCAACGATGATAACCATTTCAACAACAGAAAAAAAAGGGTTCGAATTTTCAAAAGTTTTGATCATTTGAAAATCATCATTTTTGAAAATTATGAAATATGACAATTTTGACAAGCAAAAAAATGATAATTTTTTTTTTGTTGAAAAAAATGTCTTTTTCTCTCCTTCTTCATTTATCATCATCAAAAGTCAAAAATCTATAGCCAGCCAGTCAAGATTTCATCATTTTCGATAGTTTTTTTTTCTTCAAAACCAAAAATATCATATTCCCATTATCATTGATGTGCGAAAAAAATGTGAATCAAAAAAAAATATTATTCTTTTGAACGTTTTACCTCTTTTTTTATCTTCTAATCTGATTGATTCTTGTAAGCAATTTGTTTGTCTGATCAAAAATCATATGATCAAAATGTTTTCAAAAAAAGCAAAACAAAAAAAGACCATTAAGATCATTAAAATGCAATAAAAGATAATCAACATTTTTATTGATTTTCAAATAAACAAACAAACAAACAAAAAAACAAGTTTTCAATTTCAAAACAAATCAGCTTTCATCATCGTTGTCGTCGTTGCCTTGGTCATCATCATCGTCGTCGTCATCTTTTTGAAGTTTATTATCACCAAATTCTTCTTGTTGTTGTTCTTCATCTTCTTCTTCATCATCAAGTTCATCATCATCAATTTCAGCAATCGGAAATCGTAGAATGGCAGCAATTCCAGTAAATTGATCTAATTCTAAATTTTTAAAAAACGAAAAAATTTTCAAAGTTGAGAAATTTTCCAAGAAATCGAATACATTTTTTTGGGGTAGGAAAAGGAAAATTTTCTCGGGAAAAAAGAAAATACTTACGTTCACCGGATACATGAAGACTGGAAAATATATGAACATTACCACCTAATTGACGAACTTTATCAACAATTTCAATATATTTCCTACGTATCGATACATCTTTATAACGAAATAAACGATCAGATATTAGTAATGTTTCAATTGCTTGTGCTTCAATTGCATGTTCAATATGACGACGACCATAAAATGCACGTGATGAATCATTGGCCAACATTCGTTGAAAATCTTGTAAAATTTTCATTTCTTTAGCGGCTTTTGTATCGGCCAAACGATTCTGTAATAATGGATCGGCTAAAACTTCTTTCAATGAATGTTTAAAACCCGTTGATGAATGACAAAGTATGAATTTATTTCGATTATCCAATATTATTTTCATATCATTTTTTACAGCTATTTCTATTAGATATTGATAAAATTGATCTTTTACAAAACCCGGACTGGCTATAAGACAACATTTTACAACTGGATGGATGAATAAAAGAAACAGAATTAATTGGAAAAAAAGTATTAACGAAAAAGAATCTTACCATCAAAATTAACATGCCTAATGATTGCCTGTATGATTTGATCATAAAATTTTTTCAATCCTTTTTCATGTTGATCACAATGTCCTTTACGTTTTCTTGGTATATGTACATCAATTTTCGAACGTACTAATGTCATTGATGATGTTATCAGACAAACATTTGCAATACCTTCATTCATTATAATTGCTGCCAGGTCGGCATTTTTTGTTGGATCACATGCCATTTCAATACGTTCTAATGAATATGAATCCCATTCTTCTTTCCATAATGTAAATTTACGATTCAATTCAATATCAATAGTATGATATTGTCCAAGTTTTACATATTGATTTTCTTGTACATTTTTACCTTTTACACGTAACATACATGCATCAAAATCATAATCAATTGATTCAATACGTATGGTTAATGTTGTACGAATTTTATTCGCTCCGGTTGTACCGGTTACTGATTCAGTAATTACTTTACGTAATGTACTTGCACGTATACGATCATTTTCCTGTAGTACATTATAAACATGCCACATATCTTCTTCTTCTTCGGGTATTAATATTACATATCTTTTGGCCATAAAGGGAAAAATAAGGGAAAGAAAAAAAATAAGGGAAAAAACATCAATGTTTATTGGCTTTTTTTTTATTCATTTGAAAAAAAAATCAATCAAAATATCAAAAAAAACATATTTCAAATTTGAATAAGAAAAGAATTGCAAAAATTATTCAACAAAATTCAAAAAAAATATCTAAATTCTGAGACCATTATTATCCATCATTTTTCTCTGGTTTTTGTTCAGGACCATGTTTTTTCAACAACAGCAACACCAGCATAACTACGACCAATACTCATTTCCGATGATAATAATGACCATGAATTTAATTTTGGATCATAAATTTCAATTGATTTTAAATTTGTTTGACCATCTTCACCACCAACAACATATAAACAACCATCTTGTACAACAACAACAGCATTACGTCTTGCATAAATCATATCAGCACATTGTGACCATTGTTGTGTAGTGGGATCAAAACATTCAACACTTTTACGTATTGCTGGGCCATCATGTCCACCGATTGCATAAATTTTACCAAATAATACTTCAACACCAGCACCACTACGTCTTTGTGACATATCAGGTATTCGTTGCCATTGATCCAAATCAGGATTATAACATTCAACTGATGAAAGACATTGACGACTTGAACCATCATAACCACCAACAGCATATAATAAACCATTTAATGTAACAACAGCAACTGATGATCTACGGGTTGTCATTGGTGCAATAAAACGCCATGATCTTGTTATTGGATTATAAACTTCAGCTGATTGTAATCCCAATGTTCCATCAAAACCACCAACAGCATAAATTAAACCATTCAATACACAAGCACCTAATGTTGAACGTTTTACTTCTAAACTTGCACATTGTGTCCATTTATTTAATTTTGTATCAAACATATCAACTGAACGTATACGACATTGTCCATTAAAACCACCAATAACGAAAATTAAACCATTTAGTACAACAATACCCGATCGACAACGTCTTGATGGTAGTTCACAAATAAATTCATTCCATTTTTTTGTTGAAAAATCAAAATATTCACATTGACAAATTGCTTTTGGTGCTTGTCCACCAATAACAATTAAACATTGTTGTCTTTGACGTGATTTTCTTTCACGAAAACGTGCATTATTTAAATCAAATACTTTTGGTATATTTTTTATTAATTGTGGTGATAAATATTTAATACCAGCAACAGCGCCACCACCACAACCAGTATTATACCATGATGATGATGTTGATTGATAATTTTTCAGATATTCAGTCATTGTTTTATCATCATTTTCATTCGTCGTGGTTATATCATTCATTGAATTAAAATGTTTTGATGATGATGATGATAATTGTAATAATGAATTAATATCACATGAATTTTTCATTAAATGATATTTTAATGCTTCAATAAGTAAATCTTTTGTAACGGGTTCATTTTTAACTAATGGATATTCATTTTCAATATTAAATAATTCTTCTTGATTAAATCTTGGAAATCTTATATGTTTAATTAGATTGGATAAATATTTTTGTCGTTCATTATAATTATACATAATCCAATTTATAATAGCTGATAGGACAATATGTTCACCTTCATCACCTGTATCCAGATAATCTGAAGATATAATTTCAATAATACGTTCCGGGGATGATAATTGTAAAAATTCTTCATTTTGTATAATTTTTACAAAATTATTCAGAATAAATTGAAATGTAAAATCTTTCAAATCTTTTAGGCTCATTATATCGGCAAATGTATTGATACCAATTGCGTTTGTAATTTTCAGCCGTGAACAAAGAAATTCACAACAAATTTTTATAATATCTTTACAATTCAACATTGTTGCAGCTGATAATAATAATTCTACATTCGTTTCATTTATATTACAATGACCAAGATAACAATATTTTATAATTTCATTCAAACTATTACCATCCAGATTTTTTATCGATATTTCATATTGATTTTGTTCAATAAAATTTATATTATATGTTGATGATATTGTATTCTGATGATGATTATTCTGATCATCATCATGGTCATCATCTTGCATTTTACCAATAGAATCATCAAAAGATTCCGTGGAAAAATCTTGACCGATAAACATTGTTGAAAAATAATGCAAAGTTGATGATAATACAATACGATGTGCATAAATATGACAACCATCATCAGTAACCAAACATACATCACATAATTTTGGCCGCATACGATACATTTGTGCTAAATTTATTTGACTATTCCATTTCAGTCCAGGAATGGATGAATAATGTTGATCTTGATCAATCATTGATGATGATGATGATGATGGTGGTTTTTTCATCATCATCATTGTCGTATCTGAAGATCCAATGACCATTGATGATGATGATTGTTTTTGATGATATTCATCATTTGCATTGTTATTATTCGAAACAAATGTATCACGATATTCTTCTTCAACATCTTCTTCGACGTCCATTTTTTTTTTTTGGTTCAGCCAGCTGGATTTTCAAAACAAAACAAAACAAACTTTTTGACAACAAAAATTCAATGATGATGTTGTTTGCTTGATAATTTTCGAAGAATCATAAAAAAAAATCAAAACAACGAAACATAAAAAACAAAAAAAAAAGATTCGATGCTCAGATGCGCATGACCAATGCGAATGTTTATGATTTTTTTTTTGTTTGTTCGTTTTTTTCACAAAATTCGAATTCGAATGTTTTTTTTTCGTTTCGAATGCGAATTTGGAAAATTTTTTGAAAAAAATTTTTTGACAAAATTTCTTGAAACAAAAACAAAATTATTCTTCAAATCACGACGGTAGAATTGTTGAATGATTTATGTAAAGCGAAAAAACAGAAAAAAAAGATGAAGACATTTGTCATATTATGTGAAACACACAAGCGAAAAAAGAAAACATGAAAATGAAACGCAGCCAACCACCACCACCATCAAATGATTGCGAAATTTGACATTGATGATTGAGATTTTTCTACTGTTTTTGTTGTTGTTGCTGTTGCTCTGTTTGTTAAAACATTTTCCATCATCATCATCATCGACATCGTCATCGACAATAAACGCTGTGTTGGAAGTAAGAAAAGAAACTTGACACTCAAATGGAAAACAATTTCTGTCTCTTTCGTCGGAAAAAACGAAAAAAATTTTCCCTAGAAAACAGTGAAACAGGAAGAGACCCCGATTTCAAACGAAACAAAATGAAACAGCAAAAAAACAAGTTTCTTCTCTCTCTTTTTTTCTGCAAGTTTTTGATTGATTTTTTTCAAAGTTAAATGAAAAATAATTGGAACAAAGTGTTAATCAATCTGATAATGAAAAAATTAACTGTGTATGGTGACCACGTAAATAACCGAAACGTTGAAAACGTTTTTTTTGTTTCAAAATCAAGTTTGATTTGATTGAAATTGAAAAATGTTGAAAAACAAACATCAACAAACAACAAAACTTACCCATCTTTATTTTTTGGATCAATATCTCGTCGTACAAGTTTCATGCTTTTTTATGATAATAATAACAACAATGAAAATTTAAAATTTAAAAATTCTTTAAAATTTTAAAAAAACTTTTTTTCAAAAATTAAATGCCAAATAAACAAACAAACAAAAAAATGCACATTCACAAATGCATGCCGCAAGTTGGAAAAAATGAGGAGGAGGAAGAGGAGGAATGATATCATTGTTATAACACATCGCGATATAGAGTAACAAAATTTATGAATTTTTATTTGAAAAAAAAATTTCCAATAGATGTCATTAGTAAGCGTGATTATAGGGTGGTGGTGGTATTGCAAATATTATAAATGGTGGTAGTGGTAAGGGTAGTAGTTTAGTCATCAGCAGTCATTTCGTATTTGATGAGCAATATCCAATGAACACACATAAGAATTCTGTAATAGTCACAATGAATTTGGATTTTGGATTTTTTTTTTGTTCCACGAAACGTTACGTTTCATAATGTAAATATGGTCTTTTTTGGTAAATGGTTACAGTCTGAATGCTAGAAAAATTGATACATTTCCCAATTGTAGCCATAACCCAATGAAGTCATTTTCAAAATACATATATGTTGCACGCTGTTGGTCGTCGTCGTCGTCGTCGTCGTTGTGTTTCAATATCGTTCGATTTTTTTTCCTTCTTTTTTTTCGGGTGGTTTTGTTGACGGCAAAAATTTTTTTTCTTTTCTTAATTTGCGGCTTTTTTTTTCTTCCAACCCGAATTGAAAACAAAAATTTCATCTTTGATTTTCTTGATTTTCGTTTCCGAAAAAAATTCCCGAATCAAAAAAAGCAAATAAAATTTTGATCCGGCTTTTTTTCCTCATTGTTGACATCCAGCACAACAAAACAAAACAAAATTATTCAAATTGCCAAACATTATTTCTCCTGTTGCTCAAAACTGAAAACAAAACCAAAAAAAAACTGCAAATTTTTTTTTCTACATCCCGAGAAACACAACGAGAAAAATCGTCAATCAAAACAATCCAATCAGCTTAAAAAGAACTATAGAATTTTTATCATCACAAATCATAATTGCAGCTTAAGTGTTAATGATTATTATTTAGATGATAATGGTGATGAGCAAACATAGCCAACCATCTATATATTTCATCTAACCAAAATTATTCACCACCACCACCACCCCACATCAACATTATCATCTAAATAATGATGATGTTAATATTTTTAAAAAAAATTTGATAATTAATTTGTTTTTTGATGATAAAATTGTTTTGTGGTCGTCTTTGTTGTTGTTGGAGACACCTTTCTTTCTGTTTGCTAAGAGAACAAATCCTGGATTCAGAAAATTTTTGTCTTTTTTGTAAATCGTAAGTTTTTTTAATCGTTTGTTTGATTTTCAACTAAAAAAAATAAAATCCTTCTTTCTGTTCTTGTATAGGGGAGATAATCAAATTGATTGACCTCAAACAACAATGAAAATATCGATGATGGTTTAATTCGATTTTCATCATTAACACTTTTTGATCCAGTGCATCATGATTATAATCTACATTTAAAAATTTTGTTATAATAATAAAAATAGTGAGAAGCGAGTCGCATAATATAATCTTGTGTGTTTATAAGAAAAGAACTCAACAACAACAACAACAGAAAAATACTGATTTTGAACATAGAAATCTATCTTCATTCTTCGTTACACAGAATTATTATTGTGCTTTTTTTCGGGAAAAATTATTTTGTTTTTTGGTTTTCAATTTTCAAAAAAGACCAACAACATCGACAAGAAGAAATACAGAAGGTGTTTTGTGTATTTGTTAAGTTTTTATATTTATTCTTTGTTGTTGTTGTTATTATCATCTGATATCCAGTGTATTTGAGTGTTTTTTTACGTGCGTGTTAATATTGAAAAATTATTGATTTTTTCTGATATTTATAAATCATCATTATCGTTATTTCATTAACGAAACAATGCAAGCCATCAAATGTGTTGTCGTCGGTGATGGGTAATGTGTTTTGTTGAAAATTGATTTTTTTTTAATTTAATGATGTTTGTTTACGATAGTGCCGTCGGTAAAACATGTCTTTTAATTAGCTATACAACCAATGCATTTCCGGGTGAATATATTCCCACTGTGTAAGTGATTTTTAGTTACTTTGAGGGAAAATTTTTACACACAGAATTTGTTTGTTTTTGTTTATAGATTTGATAATTATTCGGCCAATGTTATGGTCGATGGTAAACCAATTAATCTAGGCCTTTGGGATACGGCCGGACAAGAAGATTATGATCGTTTACGACCATTATCATATCCACAAACGGTAATTATTTTTTTTGTATTTAAAAGGAAAAGAATACTAATCATTCATTTAATTTTAGGATGTTTTCTTAATTTGTTTTTCACTTGTAAATCCAGCTTCATTCGAAAATGTTCGAGCAAAGGTAAAAATAATAACAAGATTTTATCCATTTTGTTTCTTAAAATATTTTGTTTGTTTCTGTTGAAATATATCCAGTGGTATCCAGAAGTAAGCCATCACTGCCCAAATACACCAATCATACTTGTTGGAACAAAATTGGATCTAAGAGATGATCCACGTACAAATGAAAAACTAAAAGAACGTAAATTAGCACCAATAACCTATCCACAAGGTTTAGGTATGGCCAAAGAAATTGGTGCTGTTAAATATTTAGAATGTTCAGCATTAACACAAAAAGGTTTAAAAAATGTATTTGATGAATCAATAAGGGCGGTATTATGTCCACAACCAAAACCAAAACGTAATAGGCATCGTTGTAATATTCTTTAAATCAGTGAAGAGAAAATGATTGCAAAAAAGTAATGATTGAATTTTCAAAGAATAACTAACGAAAGCGCATTTTATCATCATTTTTTTACATCCAAAAAACGACAAAACTCCATCCAATTGAAAAAAGCAAAAAACAGCCTCACAACAAAACATCAACGACGTTTATAAAAAACCAAAAACTGAAGCAGCAAAATATTTACAATTGTGAATAATCATGTGGATGAGAAAATTTATATTCTTTTCAAATTTTCTTCTTTTTTTATATTTAAAAATTAATTACTTATAATTTTTTTTATTTAAAAAACAAAACAAATTCTGTAATTTATCTAAAGATGATTTTGCAATAATCAAATCCTATTTGCTTTTAAAAAAATTATTCAGAATTTGTGCATCACTTTCTTTTCATTTTGGAATAAAAATTTTTTTATTATTGAATTTTTTTACTCTTTTAGTAATTATCATCTATGACATTTGTTTGATTGATTTAGTTTTTCTATAATAGGCCAAGAATTTAGAATTTTGTTTTTTACCAATGATATTTAGCCTGTTTATGATGGCGTATATTTTTTGGATAATTTGCCATATAGAAAAATATTGATGACATTGCAACCACTTGAAAAAAGAAACGAATTGGTGATGCATATTTAGGTTCAACAAAACGATGTGTAAAACGATAATAAGCACGACCCATTGCTTGCCACATTGCAAATGGATGAACATTTCGACGATTCAACCATCCGACTAATTCGTTAACTTTAACCTCGGATAATGGTGTATCGCCTGTTTTTTTTCGGGGATAAAATAAAGAAATTTTGATTTACAAAAAAACAAAAAATCAATTTGACTTACGTGGACCATAATAACGACCCGGATGATATGTACCATGAACGGCACGATTATATTCAGCCGGATAATTACCAAAATATGGTGATAATCGATTGGCCATTTTGTTGATACACAATTTTTAAAAAGAAAATGAAAAAATCTAACAAGCAAATCTTGAAAAACGAAACAAAATAAATTCAGACTTAACCCAAACACACACTCACCGATCAACAAACAAAAAAAAAGCATCGAACGTTTGCCGAAATATCAAAAAGGTTATGGTGCATTCATATAGAACGTATTTTTCGGATTTTTTTTTTGTTTGAAAATTTTAATTGGAGGGAACTTGATCCGAAGAAAAACAAACAAACAAAAATCTTGATCCGGAGAAAATCCTGAAAAAGAAGATATTTTTATCATCAAAAAAAACAATAAGAAAAGAAATAAATAAAAAACATTTTCATCAAGTAAATAAGAAAAAACCCGGGTAATTATCAAACGAAAAAAAACAAATTACCCTTGTTCTTTTGGAAATTCAATCCTGACTGACCGATCAATTATTTTGAACAAACAAAAAACAAACAAAACAAAATTGAAAACGATCAACATAAATGATTTCTTACTTACTTTTTTGGCTGGATTTAATTTTTTGAAATTCAATGATTTGGTTTGTTGAATGAGAAGGAAACAACCGAAAAACAAAATAACCGAAAAAAACGGGTAGCATTTAATTTTCGTTTGATGATCACGGATTTATCATTGCTACTAACCATCATGGTGGATTTAATCATTTTTTTTTTGTTTCATTTCATTTCATTTATGATGAATGAATCAATTCGAATATCACGAAATTGATATCATCATCAACAAAACAAAGAATGAAATGAATTTATCATCTTGATGATCATTATCATTTTGTCGATGATAATCATTGCCAATGATCATGAAATGATGATGATGATCCAGTTTCTTCCAAAAATCTTTTGTTGTTGTTGGTTGAACTAGTTTCGTGAGTTTCGAATCGATTTGATGAATGAATGAAAGGATTTTAACCGAAAAAAATTATGGTTGTTCGTTTTTCTGGATGGTTACCGTTGTTGTCATCATATTTAACTTTCACATCTTTATTTGTCAAATTTTTTGGTCGATTTTCATCGAAAAAAACTTTTTCGAAAAAGTTTTTCGTTGATCAAATATCAGTATTGAGAATTCGGTCAAATCTTTTAGTTAATGATGGTGGTGAATTAATGTAATCATCCCCAAAAACGAAAGGTGTTCATCGTAATTGATGATGATGATGATGATAATTTAGATCAAAAAAATGGTAAATAAATCGATGGTTCACCCGATAAAAGGTGCGTTCGGTTATTACATTTTGATTTTGATTTTTTGATTGAAAATTATCCTAGTTTTTTTTGACAAGATTCGAATCAAATCGAATCAAATCGAATGTTTATCATATTCGAAATGATCATCATAAAAACGTTCGAATTGAAATGCGCATAATCAATTCGAACGTTTTTTTTTTAAGAAAACGTTCGAATTAATTGAATCATCTTTCTCTATTTCGAATGTTATCCGATCGATCGGTAATCATCATTATTGATTTTTTTATTTACCCGGTTTTTTAAATCATTATCATTAATTTTAATCCAATTTCGGAAAAAAATTACCAGCTTTTAACACGCTACTGATCGGTTTTTTTTATCGATTGATCGAACAATTTCAAGAGAAAAAAACGTGAAACAACGACATTATCATCCTCCCCCCTCTCCAATCATCATCCCCAAAGATAATAGACCAAGACATGAATGAAAAAAACATCTTTCACCAATCACCAATCATTATTCGACAACAAACAACAACGAAAATCATGATCATCAAAACCAGATGGATCGAATTGGCTTAGTTTTTTTTTTTGCTTTTTGCTTTGCTTCAATCTCAATGTGTAAAACATCATTCGAAGACTATTTTCGGATCCAAAAATCTTTCCCGATTTCTCGATACCAAAAAAAGAAAAACAAGTCGATCATGATCAACAACAACAACAACAACAAAAAACATTCGATGAAAATGGACATCATTTTGATCGAATCCAAAGAGAGAGAGAGAAAATTCTCTCTCCTATGATAAACAACAACAACAAGCATCTTAAGCTGATTGGTAGGTAATACACACACTCAAACACAGAGTATTAATTACTATCAAAAACAACATTCAAATATTTATTTCTACTTAATTCATCAATGAAAAAGAAGAAAAAAAAGTTTCTATTTTAAGATTTCGAAAAAAAGAAAAAACATCGACTATATTCGACAACAACAACAACAAAAATCAAGATTACTTTTTTTTGGCTGAAGGTATTTTAACTTTCCATTCGGGTTATTATCGTCTAAATTCGTTTTTTCTTCCCCCTCTATTTTGACCTCAACAGCAACACTGAGCAACAGTTTTATGCAGTACATGCATGTGTTCGACCCAAATTCATTTTCAGTTTTTTTTTAATGGCCCAAATCTACCCAATCGGTCAGTGGATTTTTGTTTTTTGGTGATGTTTATCTTTTCGATAATTTTCCAGTAGAAAATAACTTTACTAATCGATAATAATGGTTGGTAGTTTTGTTGATGAAAAATTACACTGAAACACGCGACAATTTTTTTTTTTGATCATCAATGATTGATGAACAGAAAAATCGATTGATGATCAATGATCGGAAGGAATTGAAATGAAATGAAAATTTAATGAGAAAAATTTTCTTCAGTTTGGTTCCGGTTATTTTCCTGAATTAAATTTTTTTTTGTTAACAATCGATAGATCGATCGATCGATCGATTGATCGAACGAAAAATTTGTCCGGGTAATTTTCTTTTGTTAAAATTTAAATTGAATTTTTTGTTTTTTTTTTCTTTTTTTTCAAAACAAAACAAAAAAACAACAAAATTTCCATATTGACAACAACAACAAATGCAGAAAGAGTTAAGTCAAGAACCTACCATCAGCAGCATCATCATCAATTTTTTTTTGTTTCCGAGAAAATTTCCCGAAATTTTCCATTGTTCCGGACATGGTGTGTACAGGGTGTTTGAAAAGTCATTATATTCGTCAAATAAATAGGAAATAAACATTTGATGAATGTTTGTTTGTTTATTTAATGATTTTGAATATATTTTTTTTTCACAACAGAAAGAAAATAATTTCATTTCCCTAATATCTTTACAATCAACAAAAAAAAACGAAAAAATTTGTAATTTTTTCGCTACAAAATTTATGAATGTTTTTTTTCAGGTAAAAATTACCTTGTTTCACGTTTCTTCCCACGTTTTTCAAATATATTTTTTTTGTGAAAAAATTCAATTTGATGAATCAATAATTAATTGGTTAAATGAGATAAATCTTCCACCTTTTTTTGCTAAACAAAATAGATTTCTCTCGTCATTCTTCATTTTGCATACATTTTTGTGACATGACAATGCACAATATATGTAAATTGAATAATTTCAATAATTTTTATTCAAAAAAATTGAAATTACACAAACACAAACATCCATATTGCGTGATTGTAAACAATTTTGTTACAATTCTTCTTCCTCAATAGATTTTCTGTTTGTGTTTCTTTTTCTTTCTGTTTCTTTTTGCGATGAACGAATTTCCATTTCCTTTATTTTGTTTTGTTTAAACTTTTTTTTTCAAGAAATGATCCGCGCCCGTTCAAGTTTTGCATCATTCACAATTGGATCGATCATTGATCGAAGCAAAATTAATTTTCGACATACATGATGATGATGTTAAAATAGCCAATCAATTTCTTTTCGAATTGATTTTCGATGATTTTTTACTATCGATCCACACCTTGATGATAATTTTATTTTCTTCCCAATTCTTCAACAGCAGCAACATTGTATCCATGGAACATTTCCATTCATTTTATTGGTGTGGTCAGTGAAGTAAGTTTGTCAAAAAAAAAATGATTTACGGCCTGTTGTTGTTCGGTTGGTTGGTCGGTTGGTTGTCAAATATTGTTGATCGTTCAAAGTGGACAACCAACAACAACAACAAATTTATCATCTTTTTCTTCGGGAAACTTCGGGCGTAAATCAAGAGAGAAAAAATGTGTCAACCAAAAGTGATAAACAGAGGGAGATGATTTTGTTTTTCCAAACCGGGAAAAAAATTCTTTCGAACGAAGATGTCATCGCAGAAGAATATTTGTCATATTTTTTTTGTTATGGAAATTTTCAATTTTTTTCCCGTTGACCAAAAATAGAAATTTTACGGGAAAATTTACAGAAATTTTCCCGTAAAAGATAAACAATCAATAATAAAATGAACTTTTTGTTTGTATTTGATTTTTCTGAATGTAAAAATGCTGAAAACATTTTTTCTGGCTGACCTTGTTACTGATGTTTTTTTACCGAATTTTATTTCAAACATTCAATATCCAGGTGTGTGTGTTTAACTCATCCTTACCTATGATTACAATGTTTTTTTTGGTTATTTCGACCTAATCACTATATTTTTTTGAAACAAAAACAATAATAAATTGAAGAAATGAAATTATCATTTCAAAAGATAATTTATTCGATATGTTATTATTGCAATTCCATTCATTTGATTGTTTCTCAAATGTTGTATATTTTTAGATTGATTTTTTTTTTTTTTTTTTTTTTGATTTCCCGATGGTGATGGTTATTATTATTGTTGATCTTTAATCAGAAGAGATATCTTCAAACACACACACACACACTATATAGACAAGTATGACCAGTAAAGTGTAAATAGTCAATCAAAGAAACGGGCAGTGTACACATCGGATATGAAGTTTTTTTTCAACAAAAATTTTTTAAAAAAATTAAAAATTCTTTGCACATACCAAGACAGAAAAAAAAGAAACTTTGAAAAAATTCATGTCAAATCATTAATATGTAAATTATGTTGGATTGGCCCTGATTTTTGTTTTAAATAAAAAAAAGGTGATGATGATGCGGCTGCTGCATGAACATCAACAAAAAAACATCACTTACACATCATCAAAGATGAAACATGAAGATAAAAGATGATGATGATGATGAAACGAAACAAATTCGTTTGGCTGTCAATCAAATCAAAATAGCCAACAAAAATGATGTTTGCTGTTGCTGCCTTTTGTTAAAGATGTTTCCGAAAACTTCAAACAAACATTTTTTTTTGAGTCGATGTTGTTGATGATGCTAAATTTATCCTCAAAAATAGTCAATACTATTTGATTATCATCGATTGATTGATTGATTGATTGATCGAGAGAAAAAAATTGAAGAATTTCGACGCCCAAAACAAAACAAAACAACGAAGAAAAAACATCTGACCACTCGCCGGATAACAATAACGGATGATGATTCGATAGAATCGATAGTAATACAATCGATATTTGTTTGTTTGTGGAAGAAGAAACATCCTATGTCAATATTTGTTTGTTTTCAAACAAACAAAAAAACAATCTTTTTCTTCTTTTCCCATGTGAATTGATCTTCTTTTTCTGTTGTGTAACCAATTTTCACCTTTTAATAAAATATCGGTCATCATTTTCGATTTTTGGGTTGGCTACTTGAATTTCCATTTTTCAAACAAAAATTTCATTTTTCAAATATTCAAATCATGACCTTTTTAACTGGAGGGGGAAGTAAAAGAAAAAAACACCGGAATCAATAAGAGTGCCTATCATTTTTCAATTGATTGATGATCATAACCAAGATCACGATCAATTGATCATCAAATATCGATCATCATGATGGCGGCGGTGATGATGGTCGTGTGTAAATAGCCATTCAAATTTTTTAAATTGTCATATTTTAGCAAACAAAACAACAAGATTGTGTAGGTGTTTTTTCAATTTAGTTACATTGAAAATTTTGTTTTGTTTGTTCAAATGGATGGTTGTTCATCGCCCAAATAATTATTGATTGACACCAATTTTTTCTTTCTTTTCTGCTGAATAAAGATGTTTTTCTTTGATTTGATTTCAAAACCATCTTCAGTGTGTATAAATAGTTGCCAATGACCTTCATTTATGAATGAGCAACAATCAAATGATTGATTGATTTGATTTGATTTGATTTGTCTAAATTGAATCACCGGATATTAGGTTTTTTGGCATTTTGAAAATTTTTTTTTCTTCAAAAATTAAATTTACAGGTAAATAATGATACCTATGTGGTTGAAAGAAAAAAAAATTATGTAATTTAGTTTAGCATCATCGCCGCATCTTTTTTTTAGACATTCAATTTCTCTCTCACTCTCTTTCATCGATATTTCAACCGGTTTTTCGTTCTTCACCTGATATCGATGATGATAATCAATTTACCGGCATCGATTTCCACTTAAAATCGTATATGATTCATGTATATGATTCATTTTGTTCTAATTTTGTGTTATTTTCTCTCTCTCTCGCCTTGTTTTTCATCAACATCATCAAATTTTTATTTACCCGAATTAATCAAATAACCGATATTGATATTCGATAGTTTCTTTTTTTTCTTGAAAAGATAAACTCTTTAACTTTTAACACTCTTTGATTTTATTTCTGGAAAACAACAAAAAAAAATCAATCCAATTTTGTCCATCGACCATGATTATGGATGATAAGATTGATCATGAAGCGGCTATTTCAATCCAAGTGGAATGTCGTTTTTCTTTTTTGAATTTCGATTGCGATGGGTGAAAAAAACAGCATAAATAGAAATTGAGAGCCAACCAATAATTTATTTATCTTCAATCTTGAATGAATGAATGAATGAATGAAAAAAAGAGAATCTTATTTTTTTTTTGTTTCTAGGTAAAATTTGTTAAAATAGTCGAAAATGTATGTCAGTAGCAGTACACCAGATTTTTTTTTTCTCTCTCACTATCTTTTCTCTCTCTGCTTTTTCCCCAAAATCTCTGGAATTTCTGGAACCCGAGGTTTGAAAAAAAGAAAGATTTTCTTTCGAAAAAAAGAGAAAATAAAGAGAATCATCAACATCTATCATTTGAATTGAAAAATGAAAATGATTTTCGATGTTGTCGATGATGATGTTGATGTTGATGATCTTCATTGGTGTTTGGTTGTAAAAAAGATGTTCATTTCATTTCAATTTTTTTTCCATTAAGATCAGATCATCATCAACATCAGTATTAACATTGATGATTTGAATTTTTTTTCTTGATTTTTTTTGAATTCATCACAGTGTTTGTGAATGGTGAATTTCCAATTTTTTTTGTTGTTGAAAAAAAATTCCTGATTACATCATGATGGCCAAGTAGCCATTTTGATGATTTGATTGAATAAAAGTGATTTTTTTTTCTGGAATGTAAAAAATATGTGATAAATTTTTAAAATTTTGAAATAAAATTTCCGGTTCTGTGTTGATCAATCAAACATTCGGGATTCGACCGACCAACTAAACCGACCGAATTATTCTTCGGAATTATACACCAAGTGCCAAAAGTGTTATCTGCTTACCGGTGATGTGTTGTTTGTTTTGCTGATCACACACATACACACAGAAAATCCAACGAAAAAAAATGGCAACGATAATAAAATTTAGTAAAAATCTTTTCACCATTTCATTATGGATGATGTTAATAACGATAACAAACATTCAATCATCATTTGATCATCATCATCAACAACAATCACATTATTCATATAATGATGATGATGATTTATTATTATCCAGTTCATCATCATCATCATATCATCGTACATCACATTTATCAGGTAAAAAGATTTTTTGCTGAGTTATTTTCAAGATTTTCGTTTTTTAGTTTTTTGATCTTTGTATTTTGATCCATTTCGGGTTTGATCGACGATAAACACACACCGAAATCCAAAAATAAATCACACGAATCAATGCCAAAAACAAACAAACAAACAAACAACAAACAAACTAGACAAATATATCATGTCATTCAATTTCATTGTCATTATTGTATTGTTTTTTTCAATGTTGTATCAACAACAATCGATCTGTATCAATCGATCGGATAAATCGATTGATACACATTTTCAGTAAAGATTTTCTTATTGAAGTTCAGAAAAAATACCTGGTAATGGTGCCTGATAATGATAATGATGATCCACTTGATTGATTTACAATAATGATGATTTTGCCAAGTGAGTTACCATCGTTTATGTGGTTACGAAAATCTTTAGCCAAGAATCTTTATTCAACCGAATCGAGAAGAAAATTTCATTTCGTTTAAGAAAAATCTCTCATTCGATTGAAGGATAATAATGTTGTTGTTGTCGTGTGCCATATTTGATGATAATTGCGGTCTTTTTTTTTAAACGACAATAAAATCATCATTATTATTATTAAACGTTGTGTGATAATTGTAGTGGTGATGATGATCACAAACAAAAAAAAATCAACGTTGATCCAATAATAATGATGTTTAATCAATTTTGTTGTTGTTGTTGGGGAAAAATTCTTACTAAAAATGGAATTTGATCTAGTTTTGTCGTTGCTGTTGTTGTTGTTTTGTGATTAATTTTTTTTCTGAAAAAAATTAAGATCATCATCGTTTGATAATGAAATTTTTCCCCGAACATTTTGATTCGAGGTTTTCGTAAAGTTTTCTTTTAATTAAGTAACGATGATATGGTGAAATATTGGTTAATGGAGAAAAAATTGATAGAAAGAAAAAATGTCGATCAAAAAAACAACAATCGATATTATCGATTTCATCATCGATTGAATTTGATAAAATCATATTGTTCAAAATGATGATGATGATCTAAATTCAAAAGAAACGGGCACATCTTTCTACAGGGTGTTTTATGTATTGTGAAATTTTGCAATCTTGAAATATGGAAAATCATTTTGAAAAATGGATTTTTTGTTATCATTAACCTGAAAATATTGATCTGAAATTGATTTTTTTCGCCGTTGACATCATCAACAGCGCAAAAAAGTTTTTCACTTATGAAATTTTGGATCAATCGATCCAAAATTTCTCAAAAAACAACGAAAATAAGTCGAAGTAGCTAAAAATGATGATATAAATCGGAAATTTTTTCTAAATTCAATTTAATCAATCAATCAAATCGGATTGATTGATCGATCGATCGGAAAAAAAAGAGAGAGAAAATCTTGATCTTAAACCCCTATAGGTGAAAAAGAAAAAAAAAGTGTTACTTATTATGACTTTGAAAAAAAAACAAAAAAAAATTCAAAACTACAGAAAACAAAAAGTAAAGATGAAACAAAAATAAAATAAAATAAATAAATCCTGTTTATCATTCAATCTCTCTCTCTCTCTTTATTTGAACCTGATTACTTACCTGTGTGCTACAGCAGCAGCAGTGTGGTGGCCTGTTTACTTCAAAAGAAAAATAATTTTCTTATCGTTTTTTTTTGGAAGCCAAGTTCACCATTTTTGGATGTTGTTGATAATGATGACTATGCAACTAAATAAATAACTTTGACCATCATCATCATCAGAAATCAGTTTTGGTTTAAATCAGAAATTTTTTCTTTCTTTGATGATGATGGGATCTAACAGGATTTGTTTTTCCTTTTATTTCATTCCGTCGTTGTTGTTGTTGGTTGTTGATCATCATCATCATCATGATCATCATGATGGCATGGAATGATCAAACAACCGACCAACCAATGATGATATTTTTAGCATCATTATCATGATTATGATGATGATGTTTGTAGAAAATAAAATAAAGAAAAAATGGACAACAGGCCAATGGATTTTTTCTTTCCAGCTTATTTTTCCTTGATTATTATGATGCGTTGATCATTCTTGGCTTGTTTTTTTTTTTGGCCAAAAAAAAAAATCCTTTTTTTTTGTTGTTGTTGTTGGCGGTGGTGTGCAGTGTGCATTATTAATAAATAATAATAAATCCCGTTAAAGAATGATGAGGATGATGATGATGAAAATTATGTTTGAATGAAATGAATGTAATGGAATGAATGATGATGATGGAATGAAATAAGTTGTTTGATCGATTATCACATTTTTGTTGATTCGGATGAGAATTTTTCATTTTTTCGATGATGATGATGATCAGATTGTCTGAATGTGTGTAAATATGGTAGTGGTGGTGGTGGTGACCTTAATTTAATCGATATCATCAGGTCGGTGATGGTTGGTTTGGTTTTCCAATCGAACGTTTTACAGGTTAATATAGCCATTGCAAAATTTTTGGTGAAATTTTTCTCTCTCAAATTTCCAGATTTTTCATCATTGAAAAAATGAATTAAAATTCCAATTTTTCTGTTAAATAAATAGAAAAAAATTACTTTAAAATTAAAAAAACGGGTTAAATAAAAACATAATTTTTGTTGTTGTTTTTGACCAAAATCGATTTTTTGTTCTTCAACAGGTTGTTCTCGCTGTAAAATTTTCGTTGTTGCATAACTTTCTAACATTCGTTTGCTTGTTTTGTTTGCCCACGATCATGATCATTATTATCATTTGAACATCGACAAACGATTATAACCATCATGATGATGATGATGATAATGATGATAATGTTAACGATACAATCAGCCAAAAAATAATACCCAAAAATACACTTTTTTTGTTTGTCGATGTTTGTTGATGATGGTTTTTATTGATGGTGGATATTATCATTATTGAAAATAAAAAAGAAATTTTAATTTTGGAAAAATAAAACTTTTTTTGGAAAACAACAACAAAAACAAAAGTCGATTGTTTAATTTCGAACGTTTTTTTTTTGTTCCATCTCATTCCGCTCGAATAGAATTTACGGGAAAGTTTCTCTTTCGCGGACATTCGAATATTTAGAGAAACTTTTTTATTATTATCACTTTTGCCCATCAATTTCGATTCGATCGATTGCATCTTATCATTATTATTTGTTGGTCGTGTCATAAATTTTTTTCCTTTAAATTTGATTGATTTGATTTGATGTCTGGGTTATTATTGTTTCGTTTGGTCGGTTGCTTATTTCATTCTTTCTTTATATTCGATAATAATTTTAACTTTTAACTTTTCCATTTTTACAATCAAAAAATCAGGTCAATCGAATCAATTACAACAATCATATCGATGTTCATTGGATGAACAGGATTTACCGAAGAAAAAATTAGTCTGTTTTTATCGTGTTGAAGATGAATATCGTCCATATGATTTGGATCCTTGTCTATGTACACATATTGTTTATTCGTATGTTGCTGTTAAGGAAAATTTTGCTTTTATTGCCGGTAAAAAAGGTAAGTGGAAGCCATCAAATGTTTTTCATTGATTTTCATTTTCATTTTGCTGACACAGGTGACCTAAAATATTTATCAGCATTACGTAATCGTAATCCTTCGGTAAAAATTATTGTATCATTACGACCAACTGGCCAGGCATTTAATTTGGAAGATCCAAAAAATATTACCTATCCATTACCGGCTTCGAATACGTTAAGACATCGTTTTGCCAAACGTATACGTGATTTTATAACACGTCATAATCTAGATGGCGTCGATATTGATTATGAATATTTTAAAATGGATAATAATTCTAATAATCAAAAACGACAATATTTAATATCGATTATGCAGGTAAGTTGATGGTTGATTGATCGATTGATTGATTGACAATCGATAATCGAATCATATTAATCGATTGCTTCATTTTCTCTCTTTAACCCTTTTATACCCATTGACCTTTTTCCTTTGATATATAGTCAATAAGCGAAAGTCTTAAACAGAATAATGGTGGTGGTGATAATAAAACTATTTTAACATTAACAACATCACGTTATCCAAAACATTTAGCCGATTATTATGATTTTGCACAAATTAACAAGTAAGTTTTTCTCATAGTGTTAATTTATTGACCTTGTTTTGTTTTGTTTTAACCCAATTTTCTCCGCTTCCCCCCCCCGCACTTAGATATGTTGATTTTATAAACATACCGGCTTTCAACTTTGATCAAGAAGGTAATACATTAATTCATCCAGCTAAACTACATGGAATGTCTGAAATGGAAAATATGGTATGGTTATTTTTATTAATTTTCAAAGGAATTTTTTATAATTTGAAAAATTTTCAAACAAATAGGATGCAATAATCGATCTAGCATTTGCACTTGGCCTACCATCCAATCAATTAGTGATTGGTGTACCAACATTTGGTACATTATATCGTATGTCAAATCAAAGTCAATCAACACCTGGTTCAAAAGCAATCGGTTGGATTGCAAATAATCAACCAATCACTACTATTTCTCATTCAAAGGTTTGTTTTTTTTTTGTTTTTTAAAAACTTTTTTTCTTAAAAACATCCATCATTTAAAAAAACAGATCTGTGATGTTCGTGATAAAATTAATTGGACTTTGGTACGTGAAAAAGATCTTTCAGCACCTTATATCTACAATAATGATAAATGGATTGGTTTTGATGATGAAATTAGTATCAAATTAAAGGTAAATTTTTTGTTGATTTTCAAACTGGACATTTTTTTATTGATTTTTTTGTTCGCTCTTCTCCGAAAAACAAATGACAAAATCAGGCCAAATATATTGTACTAAGACGTGCTGGTGGTATGGCATTTTTTCATCTGAATGATGATGATAATCAAAATCATTGTGGCCTTGGTTCATATCCATTATTACGTTCAGCATTATCTGTATTTACACAGGTTGCAACTGTTGATAATGATGATTTAAATCGTAAAAATTATCCATTACCATTTTTTAATACAAGTCAACAATTTTTTCAATCATTTTTAAATATTGTACAAAAATATGGTAATGTTGAACGTATTATTGATGATGATGATCAAGATCAAGATGATACAATATTACCATGTAATCATAATGGTTATATGAGACATCCAGAAGATTGTACACGTTTTTATCGTTGTTTAAAGCTTCAATCACGTGATTCATCTGTACAAAAATTACAATATAATTGTCCACCTGGTTTAGTTTTTGACGAATATTTTCAAATATGTAATTGGCCATCATGGTCACCAACATGTATAGGATCGGGTGAAATATCATCAACTATACGATCAAGTTTTCATTGTACAAAACCTGGATTTTATCAAGATCAAGAAAATTGTGAATATTTTCATTATTGTTCTGATTTGGGTAAATCTTTTCTACAATCATATGAATTTAAATGTCCATTCGAATTGGGTTTTGATCAAGAAAAACTTCAATGTAATTGGAAATGGTTAGTAAAAGGTTGTCCATATATACCACCTGAAGAAAGAATTGTTAAAGATTTACATGATATTCTACCACATGATATTAATGTTGGTGGTGGTAATGGTGGTGGTGGTTCAGATAAAATTGAACCAGCATCAAGTGATATATCAGCAATGATACAACAAGTATTACGTGCACAACAACAAGCAACATCAATGGACAATGATAATAATTTTGGTGATGAATCTTCAATGATGATGATGTCTGATGATGATTTTGAAGAACGTTCGGATCATAGCTCCGATGATTTGATTGCAGCACAACATAATCAAATTCCAATTATAACCGATCCACCATCAGATTCACAACAACAAGATCAAACAACTGGACGATCAAAATCGAAAAAATTTTCCTATTTAAATTTATCAAAAATTGATGAAATTTATAAACGAAATTCATCATATATGCAACGATTACAAGCGATTACAAATTATTTTTCTTCGTTATTATCAAGAATACGATTCTGGAATCCAGCTAATAGCGGTAGCAGCAGTTCTTCAATAAAATCACGTGCCGATCATCAACCCAGTGATAACAAATGGTTAAAAAATCCATTCAATCGTATTTCAATACCAAAATTTCCAAAATCATTGAAAAAATCAAAAGATAATCAATCAGATGTAAATCGAAAAAGAAAATCCTTATCATCATCGTCGGAAACAATGGCAACATCGACGACAACAAAATCACCACCAACAAGACATAAGAAAAGTGTTTTCAATAAAGTTCCACGTTTACCAAAATTTTCAAAACGTAAACGAATAACAGCTGATAAATCAGCAGCATCACAACGAAATCAAAAAACATCAAAAAAATCTGGACAAAATTTGAAAAATTATCCGGGAATACAATCATCCACCGGATTTAGTCAATTGAATCATCCACAAATGTTACCAATGTTTATGGCTGAAGAAAGTATTCATATACCACAATTTATTCAGCCGCCACCAATGTCACATCATCATTTTAATCATCAACATCAATCATCAAATTCTTATCGTGGTCCATCACAACAAGCAAATCCATCATCGTCATTCCAGATGCATTCAGCTGAATCAATTATGAAACCAATCTCCATTCCGATGTCATCATCGAATAATAATCAATTTAATAAATTAAATCAATATCATCAATCAAATATATTTAATGATTATCATCATTTAGCTGCTAGTGATTCATTTCCAATCAGTTCATTTGTTGATCCACCATCCTTACCACCAAAAAAATCATCAAATTATTTCAATAATGTAAATCTTGATGCACATCAATCATCACCATTAGTTATGATTAGTACAACGGATGAACAAAAACCACAATTATATCATCATTCATATGGTCTACCATCGGTCAATATTAGATATTCATATCTCAACAATGAACAAAAGCAACAACAACAATTACCAAATACACCAAAGCCATCGATTGTACAGGCACCACAGCAACAACAACAACCGCTAAAAATTGAAGCAACCAAAATGAATTTCCCGGATCATTTACTTAGTGAAGATGAATTGAATAGTGCTGATATGCAATTGGAACAATTTCTACGTTCAAAATTTATATCAACATTACCATTTAATAATAAACAATTATTAACATTACCTGAATCATCATTACCGCCACAATTACAACGACCAAAATCATTACCGACTACACGTTCACCATCATCATCAAATCGATATCAATCAAATCAACATCATCAATTGCTTTTACCACAACATAGTGCTGTTACTGGATTACCATTAACATCGGTTAAACAATCAGATTTGAATTCAGTATTGAATCGTCATGTTATTAATTATCATCAACAACAACAACAATTTAATTATCCAACAACGATAAAACCATCATCAACGGCTGCTGGTCAATTGAATAAATTTTCAAGTTTTATTACATCATCCGATTGGTTTAATAATGAACGGCAAAAATTTTTTGAACAAAATCGTCAATTACAATTACAAAAACAACAACAACAACAACAGCAAAGAACAACAACAACAACTACGACAACAACAACAACCACACAACGTCCAACAACAATAAAACCAAAAATCATTCAACAACAACAATCATTTAAACCAATATCAGCATCATCATTACCGACATCAAAAACACCGGTTAATTATAAATTAACACCAATAACCGATAATGTTTTTGAATTGAATAAACAACCAGCATCAAATCATCATCATAATCATAATCAATATCAGCCGAAACCACAAAGATTATCATCACCAAAACCAAAAGTTGCAAAACCAATATCAACAACATATCAAGATAATCATCCAATAGATTTAGTTCGTAATCGTTTACGACCACAAATCAAATATGATTCATATGAATGGACAACACCATCAAGTTTAAAAGATGATAAAATGAATGTAAATTTCAATCTTATGACTGCTAAAGATATTGATGATGAAATTAATCGAAAAAAACATATGTTTGTTCATAATAATGAAAATGATAATAGTGGTGATCAACAAGCATTTCGACCATTAACAAATGGTCAGCCATCAATTGATTATAATCGTCATAATTTTTTCCCACCGATCGGTGATGTTTTTGAACATTATACATCGACAACTTCGGAAAAACCAAAAGAACAACAATCATCAACGACAACAACAAAATCAATGTATACAGCAGCTAGTTATGCAACTGATAATGATGATGATATGGAAAGATCAACACAACATACAACACCAGTACCATGGTTATCAACATTGAATAATGACAATAGTCGTCATTATCATCATCAAAGACCACAGAATTATCATCATGGTAATATCAACGATACAAATGAATATATAATGTTAATGTTAAATAAAGCTGTTAATGGTGGTAATGGTAATGATAATGATCAAACATTTATACAAAGTTTATTGGAATTATTACGACAAACTGGTCAGGAAAATATGGGAAAATTTTATAATGTTCAAAGTGGTGGTAGTATAAATGGTGGTGAAACAATTTTAGCATTATTACCGGATAAACCAAATCGTCCATTTGTTTATAAAGGTGAAAATTCATTATTGAAAAATCTAAGTTTATATGGTGGTCATCGTGGTCATAATCATGGTGGTCTTTTAGATTCAAATCTTTTACCATCAACAATTGCCGATCAAATGCTTAAGCTTGATATTTCAAAACCAGATTCCGAAGTTTTACAAGCAATTTTTAATAAAGTTAAAAATGAATTACAAGGTACTGAAAAATTGATACCATATGATATTGATGGTTATCCTGGTGCATCAGTTGATGTATCATCAGCACATCAAGCAAGACGTATTCCACCTGGTCGTATAAATGATGTTCCTCGAGATATTTTACCATTTACAAAACCATTTACATTAAAAGCTAGAACAACAACAACAACTACGACGACAACAACAACAACTATACCAACAACAACTGCAGCAACAACAACAACAATTCCATCAACAACAAGACAATCATCATGGCCATCAATCGATAATTATGATCATTATGATGATAATTATAATAATAATGATGATAATGATGATGATAATTCAAGAATAATTGTACCAAATTATCCACCACCAAGAATGTCAAATAATAATAATAATAATAATCGTAGTTCAAATGTTTGGTATCAAGATGTACCACATTTAGTTGATGATCAACATGTTGATGGTATTTATACAACAGAAGAATCACGAATACGTAATCCAACGACGACAACAACAACAACCGCATCTTATCCACCACCAACAACAACAACAACATCGACAACAACAACAACTGAATCTACAATTCAATATCAACCATCATCATCAGCACCAAAAATATCGAATCCACAACGAAGACCAAATGGTCGTCGACCAGAATATGGACATAGACAACGTGGTCATCAATTACATCGGCAACCACAGCCGCAATTTTCAAAAACAACATCGACAACGACACCATCAACTATAACACCATCTATTGATCATAATCAACATCATCATGAACGACAAAAATTTACTGGACATTTTGGACAAAAACTTAATGTCGTTGCTGGTGGTGGTGTTGATGAAACAATGGTCAATGGTAATCAAAATATAGATGATATTAATGATTCAGAACGAAATGTTTTCTATGAAGAAGATGAATTATTATCACCTGATTTTCATGATTTAAGATATCCTGAAAATCAAAATTATCATCAAAAACAACGACAACGACAACGTCAACGATCATCAACAACAACGACAACGACAACAACAAAAGCACCAACAACTATAACAACAACAACAACAACACAAAAACCAATAACTGAATCAAACAAAATCCAAACAAATTCGAATGAAAATACCTATTATCCTGAATCAACAATACATAATTTGATGCCGGATAAATCTGGTATACCTGAATCAGCATGTACACGGCCAGGTATATTTCAACATCCAAATGATTGTAATAAATATTATGAATGTTATTGGGATAAACATATAAACAAATTTACATTGAATCCATTTGAATGTCCAGTAAAATTAGCATTTGATTCACGTATTATTGGTTGTGCATCACCAAATGATCCAACAGTTTGTGTACAGTATTAAAAAACCGAATCTGAAATCCGAAATCAAAAATAACCCTTCATTCAAATCAAAATCCTGCTTTTTTTCCATTGTTTGGTTAGCCATTTTCTCATCTAATTTTTTTTCTGTTCCTTAACCCTTCATTCCTTTTAAATTAATTTTTTAACTACAAAGTTTCATCATTATCATCATCATCATTTTTTTTCTTCTTCTTTTGTTTGTTGTGTGTTGTGTGTATTCAATTTTTTCAGTCATATTTTTGTATTTATTAATTATTTTGGATTATAATTATAATTATAATTAATTATTTGCTTGATACTTTTTTTTATTAATTATCATATTACAAATTTTCTCACTTTTTTTTCTTGATTATTATCATCATCATAATCAATATTTAATATTTTTTGACAAAAATTAAAAATTAAAAATTGATTTTTTCTGAGAAAAGAAAAATTTGATTACATCATTGGGGATAATCCCCTAATGTTATTATTGTCAATTTTTTGTTTTCATTTTGACAATCGATTTTCATTCAATTTCAATATAACCACCACCTACACAACAAGGAGAAATTTTTCATTTTTTCATTTTTTCAATGGAAAAAAAATTGTTACACCATATGGCCAATATTAATAATGATAATAATAAAAACTTAATGCTGTTAATTTTCTTGCTGTAAAATGTTGTTGTTTAAATAGCTATTAGATATTAGGGGAGAAAAGTCTATGGCCAAAACAATAACGATAAATTGATGATGTATTTACGAATGTGTGATTATGTTGTTTTCCAATGATAAAATAGCAACAATTTTTTTTTCATATATAAAATGTTGGCGATAATCATAATCATCATCATCATCCATAATAATCACACACAAGAGAGAGACAGAGAAAATATTCAATATAATTGTTTTTGTTTGTTTGTTTCATTTGATTGCCAATCATCATCATCAATAATGATTATATGAAAAATGAAACTGAAAAAATTCAGTAGCACAAGGTCGTCGATAAACAACAACAACAACGAAAAAGAAAACAAAAGGAAAAATTCATTAGAAATTCATTCAGTCATAATCGTCAGATTATTGTGGTGGTGGTCGATTTGAAACCGTCCGATTATCATCATCGAAAATTTATTGAAAAATGTTTGATAATCAAATTTTTTTTTTGCCGTGACCTTAATATCGTTTCGAGATTCGAGGATTATTTTTTCGTTTCGTTTGTTCGTTGATGAAATAAACGATTTAGAATGTCGATAATGGATTTTTGACAACGTTCGTTCGTTCGTTGGTGATGATCATCACCATTATCATCAATTTTTCTCCACGAACTATGGACACAAGATGAACATCGATTATATTTTTTTTACAATCATTTAAATTTTGGCCATTATCACCACCATTATTATCATCATCATCATGGTCAAATTTTCAATCCAGATCACGATGTATATGGATTGGACCTTTTTTAAAAAAAAATTTAATGTTTTTTTTTTTGAATTTTTTCACAAACTTTTCACTGAATTTTTTTTAAGAAAAAAAAACTGAACTTGAAATAAAACTCAGGTAATCTGAGCACGTAAAATCCGTTAGCACACGATAACCACGATGATTATCATCATCAATTGTCAACAACATTATTATCGTCAAATGATCACCAAGCAAACAAACAAACAAAGAAGCAGAAATTTTTTTTTACTCGATTTACAAATCGATTAATATTTTTCATTTGTAATGAATGGATAATAATCCTTTATTATAGACGTCATCATTAAGTTTCTTTTTTAATGAAAATGATTTTTAAAAGTAAAATTGAGGTAATTTCTCTGCTTTCGCATTTCGTTCACGTTGTTGTTGTTTTTCGACCTAGAAAATTCTTCGTTTTTTTTCAACTTCTGAAAATCATCCGGTTGACAGATAGAAAAAGGCAGCTGCAGATTTCATCGATTTTTTCATGGTCAATTTTTTTTTTGAAAAAAAACTTAAAAATGATTCCTTGAACTGACCGCCAGATGTCTGGACTTGTTCTCTTTTTTTTCTGTTCTTGTTAATGTAATGGACGAATTAATCGATCGATAATCGATCAATCGATTTAAAAATTAATTAATCGATTTCATCAAGATCATTTTATCATTTGATCTTTTTTTGATTTTTTGATTTTGATAATTACTTAACGATTGATACGTGATCGATCAATCAAAATCAAATCAACAATCAGCAATTGAAAACAAACAAAATGATCGATCGATCAATTCAATCTGTTTTTTTTCTCTCTGTAAATCGATCAAATTCAATTTCAAAATCCAAAAAAAAATTGGATCAAAAATCAACAAAACGGAAATCAAATTTTCAATGTTTTTCACAATTTCAATGGAGAAACGAAAAAGATCACGAATAAAGGATTTTCTTCGTTGTCCTTCTTCTTTTTGACTTTGCAAAAAAAAACGTGATGAAAAGAAAAGAATGAAAAAAAATTCACTNATCGATCAATCGATTTAAAAATTAATTAATCAATTTCATCAAGATCATTTTATCATTTGATCTTTTTGATTTTTTGATTTTGATAATTACTTAACGATTGATACGTGATCGATCAATCAAAATCAAATCAGCAGCAGCATTTGAAAACAAACAAAATGATCGATCGATCGATTCAATCTGTTTTTTTTGTAAATCGATCAAATTCAATTTCAAAATCAAAATCCAAAAAAAATTGGATCAAAAATCAACAAAAACGGAAATCAAATTTTCAATGTTTTCCACAATTTCAATGGAGAAAAACGAGAAAAAAAGATCACGAATAAAAGATTTTCGTCTTTTCGTTGTCCTTCTTCTTCTTCTTCGTCTTTTTGACTTTGCGAAAAAAAACGTGATGAAAAGAAAAGAATGAAAAAATTTCACTTTCGTTTTTTTTTTGACTAGCAAATTAGTGAATGACCACAATCAACAATCAAACATCAACCATCCATCGACATGATGATGATAACATTTGAATCCATGGTTATAGTTATGGTTGGTTGTCACATATTTATGAAATTTTCATCCCAAAAAAATCATTAAGTGTTAATGTTGTTGGTGATGGTCAACACAAATTATTATTTTTAACATCCAACAAAAAAATGTCACAATTTTCAATATTTTGTAATGACTATTATAACACCAACCAACCAACAATCATCAACATGATGACTATTTCTACTTTATAATGTATCATCATCATTCAAATCATTCCTTATTCAACAAAAAAGTGAAATTGAAATGATAATGATAATATTGAACAAAAAGGAAAAGAAAATGAATTTTTCAAAAGTTTTTTTTCAAAAAAAATCTTCGTCCGTGTCCGGGATTTTTAACAATTGAAATTGATGAATTGTGAATTGAAAGTGAAAGTGAAAACAAAACAAAAAAATTCATCACAATTGTCATTTTTTTGGGGGGGGGGATTTCAATGACATTTAATTGAATGAATGGATGGCCAACAACAACAACAACAACAAAAGCAGAAATAAAAATGGCGCCATTATTAGCAGGATTTGAAAATGAAATGAAATGAAAAAACGTAAAACGTAAAACGTAAAACGTAAATGATAATTATAATGTGACAATATTTATAAATTTGGAATGAAAATGATAATTTCTTTTTTTTTAATAACGACAATCAGTGTTACAAGCAGAAATAATCATTTGAAATGAAGTAAGTAAGTAAGTAAGAGAGAGAGAGAGAGAAAAAAAAGCAAAGACCATGAATCTAATAAGAAGGTCTTTTGCGTTTGTCTGTGTGATGGATGGATGGATTTGATGTCGATAGATAGATAATATGTCCACCACGATTTTTTTTTTTTTTTTTTTTTTTTTTTTTTTTTTTTTTTGGAAAAAAATTTTAAAT